CCAAAAATAAGAATTTCAAATGTGTCAGGTTAAAGTGGCAGGTATGTTATAGCTAGTTAAGGAGGATGAAGGCCGGATATTCACCTAAATAATTTCTTGTTTAATACCAGATGTGAACCGCCTGTACACACAATTCCAGCCCTGTTGCTCATCACCTCCATGTAAAGTTCAACCCATCTTTCCCCATCAAATTGATGAAATATAGATTGTATACAGTAGCTAGCAGGGGCAGGGGTGATGTTATCCAACCCACACAAGTTATTAGCTGCCATTAGTATTGACAGTTACTGTAGCCTTTGATCATATCTTCACCTGGTGTTTCATTCAAACCAGTGTATCTGTAGCCCTGTCAAAGACCTTTTTGCTTTTTGGTAACGTAAACTAATGAAGATGACTCAGCAAAATAGGAAGAGGCGGGCGATGTTTTACACAGCCAGGGATAGAAATGTTTATGCCATGTCCAATGTTGATTAAAATTTACACAGCCATATGTTATCATATCTAGGTGTGTCAAAACAAAGTTTATTGGAAAATTAAAGATGTTAGTTTGTGCATTTTGTCCAAGTTGTTCCAGATCTTGTAACACCCTTTAACAATCTTACACATACAAGATACGGAATGACTTATAATAAGTTCCTGTGGTGAATTTTTTGACAGGAAATCTTTGGAGTTAGACCACAAAGATTTCAGGAGGAAGTTAAGGATAAGAGAAGGCCTCAGATATAAACAAAACAAATATGAATGAATGGATTGATGCCAAATTGATGTATTATTTCATCTAAAATATGTTCTCTTTGTGGTTATTGGGGAATAATCTTTTAAAAAAGCAGAATCTGTGTAAATGTTTTGACATTAAATAAAGTGACATATGATTTATTGACATTTTAAAATATATATAATTTGAACATACATTACAAATTGATAAATTTAATGTAAAAATCCTTGAGTATTGGACCATGTGAAAATTTCTTTAGAATTATCAGACACATTTCAGTAAATTTTCTAAATGATACATTTGAACATTTGAAGTCAGTGGGATGGTGTAGACATTTGATGAGCAAAAATCATTATAAATTTCAGGTGTCTTTGGAATTCTGCAGGTGACGCTTGGTCTACCATAAGGAACTGTGGTGGACATGTGAGTCCTCTTTTTGATCAGAGATCTACCAGAAACATTCCCAGGTGTTGTTTAGTCTACTGTATCCCATGTGGTTGTGGTCATTTCTTTCTAAAAACATATAGATTTCCTGAGTTTTTTTATCTGCCATTTAGCAGAGATGTGTGGTTACTGTTGTGTATTAGCTCTGTTAATTGATATTGCTACAGTTGTTGAAGTTTGTATTTTCCAGGTAATTTCTGGTCTTAGAATGACTCTGAGATACATCTATGATCTCTAATTTGTATCAAAATTATGTTCATTTTGTAACTTTCAGGACTGATTTTTCATTTAACAATGTCTTTCATTTGTAACTAGGGTGGACATAAGTATTTTTCATTTTGTTTTTCAGAAGAAATAAAAATTGTGTCAGTTTTGCCCATTTTCCTGTACTTTACAGATAATGTGTGGTCTTCCATTTGCTATGAAGTATGTCTTAGTACACTGCTATGTGTTAGCTCTGTAATTAAAAGTTGTCATATGTATCAGACGTTTTCCCATATTTTCCAGGTGATGTTTGGCATCCCGTTTGGCACGGAGGTGGACATGTGGTCTCTGGGCTGTATCTTGGCCGAGCTCTACTTGGGGCAGCCATTGTTTGGGTACGGGAACAAGAAATTGGTCCTTGAACAGGTGAGAACTATGGGGAATGAGAGAAATAAGGCAAAGATGTAGTTTTCAAAATGAATACAGTAGATTATAGAAAGTGTTTTAAAGAATATAAAGTATTCAAATGTTTGATTTGTTGGTAATACTTCTGAGTGTTTTTTTTTCTTTTAGCAAACTCAAGTCCACAGCATTATGAAAAAAATTATTCTTAATTACCAGTTTATGAACAGTTTGGTAAAGAGCAGTTTCATTCAGTTTTTTGTCGTTATCTTATTTCAAGTTTCTCATTGGTGATTCTTCTCCTATATACAGATTACGAAAGTACTTGGCCCTTTTCCACGAGATCTGTGTCAGAGAGGGAAGTATTTCCAGGAATTAAAGTATTTGACAGAACCAGGACAGCAGAAGGAAGGTAAGGATAAGATTGTTAACTGTCTCCATCCTCAAGTTAGATGTATGTTGTTAGATTTCCAGATACCAGGCTCACACTAAGTAGATATTTCTTGCACCTAAATGCGTGGAAAATTTGAGCTAAAACAAATCATTTGCTAAAAGAATTGATTCCTTAGTTAAAATCTAAAATAACAGTGCTTGGGAGTTATCAGAGAATGTTTATTGCATTGCACTGGAAATGGTTTTGAACAGAAAGGACTTCAAATTTTGAATGTGGGAAGAATTATTGTAGCATTTGTTGTATTATTGTAATTTTTCAGCATTTTCCATGCAAAAATAGAGAGGGAAAAGTATAAAAAACTGTTCAAGNAGGATAAGATTGTTAACTGTCTCCATCCTCAAGTTAGATGTATGTTGTTAGATTTCCAGATACCAGGCTCACACTAAGTAGATATTTCTTGCACCTAAATGCGTGGAAAATTTGAGCTAAAACAAATCATTTGCTAAAAGAATTGATTCCTTAGTTAAAATCTAAAATAACAGTGCTTGGGAGTTATCAGAGAATGTTTATTGCATTGCACTGGAAATGGTTTTGAACAGAAAGGACTTCAAATTTTGAATGTGGGAAGAATTATTGTAGCATTTGTTGTATTATTGTAATTTTTCAGCATTTTCCATGCAAAAATAGAGAGGGAAAAGTATAAAAACTGTTCAAGGCATATTTCATGTTGAAATTTTGTAAGTCGTTCTCTTAAAAAATATTTTGCATAGATCTTACATAATTTTCTTAAAGATTATTGGTTTTGTTGCAGCCACCATGAAAATATTGAAGAAGTTGAGACAAAGCTCATCTGCTGTCACGGACTTTTCCTTTGCAAGTTTTTTATCAGGACTTCTCAGATACAATCCAGGTAAGAAATACTGTACTTGATGGGGAAATCACAATGGAAGTTTGGATTAAAAATAGTGGTATTACTAGAAATGCAACAGTTTTATTGTCATTATTTAGCTTGAAGAGTAAACAGATACTTTACCAGGCAATATTTTGTCTTCTTCCATTCAGAATTCAATTCATCAAACTGACAAAAGAACTTCTATATTTCTACAGAGATTTCAACATTATAGAGATTTTCTGCCTTGATACATCTTTTAAAAGATTACTGTAGAAAGAAATGCATATTATTGACAATATCAGCATATAGCATTATTAGAAGACTGAAACGTAACACTCTCTTCTGTTTTCTGTCATAGAACACTTGACAGATTTATAAATGTTTTTCACATCTTTACAAAAATTCATGAAGTTAATGAGCTAATTAACTTTCATATTTAGGTTAAAAAAGCATTTTTGTCTTGAATAATGCTTCGATTTTTATTTTCAGCTGAGCGATTGACACCCTCCCAAGCAGCCAGGCATCCATTTCTGGCATCAGAGCTGGGATTCAGATATCTTCTAGACAATGGTAATTGAAATATTTTTCAGTAATTTAATAAATCCAAAAATGTAAAATACAAGATAATTTATATGTGATGATGAATTTTCTGTTTAGTTATTGCTTACAGTTCTTGTCATAACAATATAACAATGTATTGATCAAGCACATAGTAAGAATACAAACTCTCTCCTCAGTGATAAGAATTCTATATTTTGGACAGGTCACTGATTATCAAGAGAAAACATGTAAAATGCAGATTCCTTAGTATTAAGCTAAAAGTTTCTATTAAAATAGAGATTTACTTAAGCAAAAGGAATATTTCAAATCATGCTCTCTCAACATTTTTCCAGAGACCTACCCTTCGTGCCATTTGACACGTGAGATGTATGGTGATTATGGACCAGCGATAGCACCGCAAATCTCAAAGCGCTTTCTATCCCCCGTAGCTCTTCTGCACAGGGGCACTTCTATTCAGCCCCCAGTGGAATTACCCCAGGGCTGTAATGGTGCCTCACGTCATTCCAAGATGCTGGGACACAGCAGCAGACAAGTAGCAGAGGTTCTGCCACTGAAGAAGGTCACACCAACCTCAAAACTTAGAGTGAATGAGCATCGAGGCAGTACGAGATGGTTAGATGCTGATGTGGATAATGGTCCTGCAAATAACAGTGCAAGACAGCTAGGCACAAACTCCCAGAATGCTTCAGTACATATGGCTGTGATGGAGAGTCATAGGGTGGCAGAAAATGGCCATGATTTAGCTGATGAGGTGAATGGCCTGTATCGACAGATCCAGGATGAGAATGCATTGTTGGAAGAATATCCCTCCACTTCTGAGGAAAGTGATGATGAACATGTTCAGAGTGATCATGCCCCAAGAGAGTGGTTTAGGTTCAATGGGACACCACAGAATGAAAGTGAAAGTTCTCAGGATTCATTAGAAGGTCAGAATAACTCCAGGCATGTAGAAATAAATAACAGCCATGTCAGGCAGGTTCAGGTGCCAGGAACTCAAAACCTCAATGATTTAACATTTAGCATCAATGATGAACATGTTGAAAATTTAGCCAATAACAATGCTACTGACTCCTCAATGAGCAGAAGACAGGAGAAAGGCTATTTTGTTCACGGTTTGACAGATCAAAGATTTTTTGAAAAACAAAGTGCGAGAAAGAGAGAGTTTGTTCATCAGACCCCGAGGAATGGGAGGTTTGCCCATGTGTCTGGGGAAGATAGAGATTTTGTGCGGAGTAAAGAGAGAAGAAGGTCCGCAGATAATGTGACACCAAGAAATGAGAAGGAAGAAGGGGTTATGCTACTTACCCCAGTAAATAAACCAGAATCTGAGGCCACTGGGCATAAAACACAAGACATCAAGGATAAACCAAATTTATCTGAAAATGACAATCTGCATCACCAGGGACACAAAGGTAAATTAATAGGAAAATGCCCTTTAGGTAAAAATTATACAGACAATGGTTTGTTCAGAGATAAGGAGCTAAAAGAAACTTCAAGAAGACCGACAACAGTTAATGCTGAAGTACAGACTGCAAACAGAAAAGAGAATGTGCCACAGGGGAATTTCAGCTGTGATAGAGAGAGTATTGGAGACAAAAAGTACCTTTTCAAAGAACACAAAAATAACACAGAGCCACTGCCACCTCATATAGGTACAGATGAGGAATTTCCTGGTGATAAAAACAAGGTGCTGAAGGATCGTGTGAAAAGAATCTCATTGGGTTTGAGCAAGACAGATGTAGTAAATATCGTAAACCCAGACAAAAATGATGTATTCAGTCAACATGGTACAGGTATTACAAAACGGGCGCAAGTTTTGACAAATGAATACGGCCATGATGACTCAGCAAGAAATGGCAAGCATGACTCAGCAGGTTGCAAGAAGAGGAGAGTTAAAGGCACAGCTTTCCATAACTCAGGAAATGGAGATGCCTGTTATGTAGCAGAGGGTAAAAAGCGGAAATTTCATCATTATGAGCAAAACTCTACATCAAAGTTAAATGATACTTTCACTGTAGAAGTTAAGGATGACAGGTGCAAAGTTACAAATTTCAATCATTTTCGTGAAGTCAAAAACAAATTACTCAAGAAGAACATGAAAGAGTTTTCACATTATCCAAGTAAAAATAAGCATGTACCAAGTAGGTATTTGACAGAAAGTTTGGTTGATGAAAAATCATCTGAAGTTACCAACTTTAGGGAATTAAGTAGTAACAGAACAAGTTCAAGTGAATCGGCAGCAAATTCCAATAAAATCTTGAACGTGTATGACTTTCATGACGACTCTCCACAAAAAGTGAAAAGACAACTGATAATGCAAGAGTCCAGTCAGACTTCCGTGTCACCAGACAATACCGCAATTATCAACTTTGCAAGTGAATCTCCACGCCCTAGCAGTCAAAAGAAACCAATTTCCCAAAAGCAGAATAAAAAAAGAAAATCTAAGTTTCAGGTTGGGAAGTGTGCACAACCTAAAAGTTGTGACTCTGTCAAGAAAGAAGATGAGTTGGCTTCTGGCTCAAGTGGTTTTAAGTTTTTACCTGAAAGAAAAGGAAAAAGGATGAACCGAAAGTCTTATTTGCAAGCCAAAAAGAAAATAAAAGAACAGTGTGTGGAAGAACAGTCAACAAGTCAACAAATTGACCAACTAGGAAGATTTTCTCAGAAGGGTAAAAGTGGGAAGTCAAGGAAAGGACAGAAGGAAAGTTACCAGGTTGTACAAGTAGTTGAGATGAGTTCAGATGAAGATACCGTAGGAAGCCCAAGAAACAAAAGTTCAGTGGACCATATTTACCAGGTTAGAATTCCACCTTTTGTTCTCATCAGTAGAATATATATGTATTAATGAAAAGGGGAGATGTCACCAGATGCATGCTTACTTGGTGCTTTTAAATCATCCATAGCATAAAAGTGTACATCAGAAAATGAGAAAAAATAAATTTTAAAAAGTTTGGGATAATCTGTCCAAATTCTATGAATTTCTGTATAAGGATGAGCAGTGAAGGGTACACCCCACAGTTGGCTGTCACCCCCAAATTATTTACTTTGTTGCTAATATGTTTATTTCTTTGAAATTTCATTTTCAGGGGCCAGATGATGATAGTCTAGAGTATGGTACTTCTAGTGATGAGGCAGAAGAAGAGGTAAGAGATGAGGTACAGAAAAACAGATCTAAAAGAAAAGCGTGCTGTGGGAAATGACTTAGTTCTTTTTCAAATTGAGTGGTATACAGTCTGTACAGTGGTATTTCAAGTCCTAACACTTAATTTGTCTACAGGGGTTTCTAATCCCTGTGACAAGTTTGCCTCCTGCTGTTTAATCAATTTTAAATTGGTCCTGTTTAGAGCAGAGGCTCTGTTTAGGGGGCTCTCTTACATAATTGCCAGGCTATTGAGTTGCCAATGTCTCAATTTGAACTGATAAACAGGGATGAGACTTTTTGGGAAACAAAAATATCATTGGCCTAGGTGGCCCCCTGGACTCGCACAATATTTTCCGACTTTTTCACCAAACTGCAGTACTGCTTGATGTGAAAAGGCTACTCAGAGAAGGAGCATTGATGAAATTAAAAAGACATGGTCTTCAAATTTAAGTTATCAGATACCTACTGGGTATATGAATACTTTATGAAAATAGATAATTCAGTTTTGCATCCATTTACTTGTTTGTTTGTATTTTGGATATAATGTAATGCATTTTGTTTTGGTTGTTTCAGGAGGTTGACATTCTAACAATGGACCACTAGCCTAAGAAAAGAGCTAGAAAGTGATCTCAATATTGGAAGAACTATGACTTAGAAGATCATAGCATCCAATGTTTTTTTAGTATTTTATAGGGACCAAACATACTCCATAAAGTCATTTTGCATGTGAACTGTTTTTAATCTGGATGAAGTAATCTTTCTTTTTTGAGGAAGAAGATTTTATTGTAAAAGAACGTAGTAATTATTATCTTTTAAATTTTGGCATGTTAAATTTTAAATGTTCATAATTTTCTGTAGTTTCCCTCAGAGATTGAGGGATATGCGATTTTTGATTAATAGAAACTGATTACAGTTTACAAGTAGTTAGGAGTTCTTGCTTTTTAAAGGGATAACAACTCTTCATTTTGGTGGGAAAAGTGCCATAATAAATTTTTTTTTGGTAAACGATGATTTTCCTTTACTTTCCATTGTTTAATGACTTTGTTCTGACATACAAAGTTGTTTTTTAGAGATTCAGATATTATTATTATTGTTTTTCAGAGATTATTACTGAGGGTAGCTGGCCATTAAGATCTGTGTGGTCCAGATGGCTAGCACAGATTTCAGAATAATTGTGATTACTGCCATTTACACATTGGTGGTACAATGGAATTTAATTTTGAAACTCATATGAAGAGGTGTTATCCCCTGGAGTTTTATTGAAATGTTATCATTTTGAAATTTTATCTAACTTTGAAAGTCTAAACAGTTTATTTACATGTTATGATCAAAACCATTCATTTTAGTCATTCAATGTAGGTGTGAGGACATTCACATTTGCATCAAGAATTTCTTTGAACAATTTTAAACAATAAATACTTTCTTACTGTCTGTGCGTTTTATCACCGTTTCTGAATTTAACTACCCTAGGTTCTAGATTGTCAGCTCGATCTTGATTTCATATATAACCCATATCGCAATACCAGGCTCTAGTGCACAGCGGCCATGTTAGGCTCCCGTCAATCAAACAGAACTGCTCTGCAGTGAAGCTGCAGTTGAATGTCATCAGACCAAAATAAAACGTAAAATAGATTTAATTCTGCTTTATTTAATTTTATTTGCTGTATTTAAGATATGTAAAGTGAGAAATAAATAATTTGTTTCTAAAAGAAAAAGGTATATCCAATGTTTTTGTATTTTTGCTTATAAAAGAACATTTAGTCCTGAGATAATAGACACAATACAAGTGCTTGCGGTGTTGTGCCAGGTTTGACAGCTACACTGGATGCCCGATACCACTATAAGGGCTGCGCAACGGCTACACCAAAATCAATTTTTAAAGCAGAATGTTGCTTGTATTGTGGCACTGACCTTCGACTGCAAGATATTTTCAATTCAAACTTCTAAATCCGCGTCAGACACTTTGATTCTTGTCTCGCAAGGTGGGAAATGCAGCTCCAGGCGGCCAAACCAGTGACGTAAGAGACTTATGACTTCCAAATATGGATCCAGGCGGACACAGCTGTGACGAGTGACTTCCAAATATGGAAGCGCCCCAGGCAAAATTTTGAAGAAGAACGCCCTCAGATTGTTGCTGTGCATCAGAGCTAGTGAAAGTGACTCCAAGGTATATTAAATATTAAACAAACTTTTACGTTGCTCTGACACTCAGGGTAAACTTAACCAGCTTGATGTTGAATACCGTAGTCATTACCACTGGCCTGGGCCATTTTGTTTTTCTTTTTTATGCTTTAATTGATTTTAATAATTATTCTTTCATCTCAAATAGTTTGGGTCCTAGATTACACAAAAGACTATACAAACAAAGTTTGGTTTAAATCGATATTATATAAATACGTGAAATGCAGACTTGAAAAACTGATCCCAACTAAAATTTTATCTATAAAATTTATTACACATGACACCATTTGCATGTTATACATATAATTATTAATGCCTAATAATGCTGGAACATCATGCTCTAGCTGTTTCTTCACTGAATACCAAAATTGTCAAATAAAACACTTGACACAATCTCTTCACAACATTCCTGTTGCTTCCACTCTTGAAAAAAAAAACCTGGATTAAAATAGCTGGGATATACAATATCCATGATTGTAACTGTACTTGGTCTATTGCCTGGCAAATGCACATTGTAAAATTGTCTGTTACTATTCCAAATGTCACTGGTAGTCTAGTTTATGTCATCTTTTATCTGGTTTCTCCAGTATGTTCAAAAACTTCCCCCTTGTCATTTCTCGAGCTAGAAAATATAATGTGAAAATCATTGTAAATAAGTAGAGATAGCAACATATCTAGTAGTTTTTAAAACTGTGGATCATCCAAGCTTGACAAAAATGCAAGCTTTTGACACTGCTTGAAGTCATATGGGACAAGAAAAACTTGTGTGACATGGGGTCAATTTTTTTTTACAATATAGATATAACTCAGTGCTGGAAATGGCTTCTTAGAAAGCAATACAAAAGTGACATCCAAAATATGGTGAATTAGTTCTGTGGTGCAACAGACTAATTTGACACAAAAATATCCTTGTGCAAATGATTTTCAATTGATTTTTGAAACAACTTTATTTGGCTTCACGTGTCTGAGGACTCCAGTAACTGAAATCTCTTTCCTACCTTCATCCAATCCTAACTGGTAGGCAAGATTCTGTAGTCCACGCACTTTGTCCATCAACTGAGATGTGGTCAGGCTGCCAAACTCTGTAATAAAAACGGGTTGCTTAGATATCAAAATGTACAACCTTTTGTAGTAGTGAACTGCCCTGTTGACATGGAATATTCTCGCTTTGAATTGCTTGACAAATGGGCACACTGCAGAAACAAAATTGTGCAGATTTCATGGTGTAGATTGACAGACTTGCTTACCAAAGAGTCTTTACTCTCTTTCACAGTTTATGCATTTCTAAAATTCATAATCAAAATTGCCAAATGGCTGAACTTTTTAGACTAGAACATGTAGATCATTATTGTTCACCTTGCAACATGTCTATATCATCCTTTTCTAAGTCTGCCATCCATTTTGCTGGAGTATTGGAACCAGATCCAGGCTGAAAGGTAGTTTGGATCATAGTGATTGCACAGTTCATATATTCATAACTGTTCTTAATTTGAATATAGCTTAAAGACATTGCTTTCCAACACGACTCCTAGGCTTCTGAAGTTATCATTTAAATGTAGAACAATTCAGTTTAGTTTTTCATGATTTTTGTTTTACATTCACAAATAACAATTGCAAATGGTAAACATTTCATAAACTATATTAAGATTAGACATGTATTTTTAATAAAACAATAAAACTGCTTTAAATGACGAAGGAGAGAGCATCAATCTGTACTTACACTTTTAACAGCAGCAAATTCCAAGACCCCAGGTACTGGAAATAAAAAATACCCATGAAAATTAGCAATCCTCGCAGTTTTCACAAATAATGTAGATTTAGAAAAATTCAAAAATGACTTTATTTTACAATATGTTTACACTTAATATTTAAAACAACATATAATCAAATTAACACTGAAACATCAATATTCCAGTCAGGGGTTTTTATTAGTAAATATTATACAACTAACAAATGGTCATTACTTTGCTCTGGCCAGAGGTCAGGAGAAGCTCTGTCAAGTCTCTCAAAACTCAGCAATGACTGATCTAGGTCCAGATCGCTGTCTGAAAATACAGAAAAAACACCCAAGATGTGTATGTTATTCACAATAATAACCCACAATAATAATTTACCCTTTCATAGCTACAATTTACAAACGTCCGTATAGACGAAAAATCGTTGAAATGAACACTGTGATGCACTGAACCTTGCATATGACATAAAAAATAAAAGGACCCATAACAGAGTAAGGAATATGTAATCTTCAAAGGCAAAGACATCGCAGTTGCAGTCGAGGAATTTGTAAACAAATCTAGTCGTAAACAAAGGCCCCGTTTAAGCAACATGTTGGAATCCAAGGTGTTAAAATGACAATTAACACTGATACTGAAGTATTGGTTATTCTGCAATACTCCAGATAATTCATGCACAAAACAACGTCATACAGTTCTATGCTAAAACAAGAATTTGAAAATTACCCGCACTTGCTGACGCCATTTATGCGACCCGGATTCTCATTGGCACGCTGTAAATTTGTACGTACTGTATATGTAATAAAATATAATATAGACACATTTCATTAATTTAACATCAAACAAGGTAAAAAATTATAGATTTTACCCAAAGTGTATTGATAACTTATTTCTGAAATTTTAATCCACGAAGACGGGGCTTATATGTAATCAACTTTTTACACGCGCTTGAGGGTACAAATACGTCAACAGACTGGACAAAATGCTGCGAGTTTCCACGCTTTTGAAGCAGGTAGGGTGGTATAAAAGTGTGTTATCAGCCTCTTTTGCATATGCAAGTAGAATGATATTAATAGAAATAGTTGATTGGTATATTGTGCAGCGTCACTGCATTTTTAATTAGCAGACAAGTGGACAATATCTCGACCAACTTTGACGCTATCTTTACAATGCAAAGCAGTGCCGTACATGGGACTTGGTATTGCGTCCTTACAAGAAGCGAATATCTTTCTAAAGCCATGATGAAGACAACCCGCGTTCTTTAGTAAGGCCTTTTTACTCAACTGTGTGATCATCAAATTCAACCAAACTCTCCTAGTTAATCCGCGTGCTTTAAAATTCCAACTGAAAATAAGATTGTGGGTAGTAAACTAGGCCAAAGGGTCAAAGCACCGGTGGTTGCGGGGGTTGTTGTATAATATATTTATAGAGCGTGGAACGAGACCGGGCCAGATGTAGAGCAGCGCGTCTCCCAAATCAGCACAGTCTGACCAACTCATGAAACTTTGTAGCTTTATATTAAAGCCTGTTGAATATTAATGAAGCCAATCCCTTCCATTATTCATTTTATTTGTTGAGTAGAATTTAAATGTTTAAATTAAGTACAGTTTTAAATAGCTTATGTAAGTGTGCAGACTGAATTAATCCAACATTTATTTTAATGCAATTTCACCTTGTTTGCAGTGGGAGTTTTTTCCTCTAAAAATATTTGGACAGTTGGTATGTTAGTGTCATTAGAAGAGCTTTTGTTTGGTATTTTGTTCACTTGGCACTGTAGACAGAATAAGATCCTCTTATAATGATATATCCTAAATTTCATCAGTGAATATATAACACAAAAATTGTAATTGAAAAAATTTGATTATCTAAGTTGGTTTTTATTTGTTTCTATTCCTCAGTGTATTGCTGCCCCAGGCTCAGTGAGTGCTCTGAGATTCTATGCAAGTGGGTCTGTGGTAGGTATACACAATGTGGTGTGAACTGTTACTTTTTATAAGTTCTTCCTTTGATCTCTTTGTATTGTTTTGGTAGTGGAATTTGCTTAAAGGATAGAAAAAAATATTTGAATTAAAATAGAATAATGTAGATGATTTTCTGTATCTACGCTGTGGGACACGGAGAGAAATAACAAGAAAGTAACTTGTTGTGTTCACTGGCATGATTGCATTTTTTTTTTCATTTTCATTTTAGCCCACTACAAAACTGTTTATAAATGGACAGTTTGTAGAATCCAAGACCAGTGACTGGATTGACCTTCATAACCCTGTAAGTAAAAATGGAGAAGTTCAGTAGAGGTGAAATCAGCATTGGTTTAAAATTTTTTGTTTCCCTACAAATTATTTTATTTAACAAATGCATATGATGAAAAATGTAACAATTCAATTTTCATGTAATTTTATTTTGTATTTTATGTAAATAAGCATTTTTTTCAAAGTGATTTGAGTGAAGTGTCTGGTTTCACACAATTCTGTGTTTTGCTCTCAGGCGACCAATGAGGTCATCACCAGGGTTCCCAAGGCAACTCATGATGAGATGGAGGCAGCGGTGGCCGGGTGCAAGGAAGCCTTCAAGACCTGGTCAGAAACTACCATCCTCACCAGGCAGCAGCTCATGTTTAAGTTCCAGCAGTTGATCAAGGACAATCTGGTAATTGATTCTGACCTTTTGCTACTGGAAACATTAATCTACATTAGTACATGTACGTTNTGATACAATATTCGGAGGCGGTATCGCCTCTCTGATCCTCTAGTTTACATGTTATGATCAAAACCATTCATTTTAGTCATTCAATGTAGGTGTGAGGACATTCACATTTGCATCAAGAATTTCTTTGAAACAATTTTAAACAATAAATAGTTTCTTACTATCTGTGCGTTTTATCACCGTTTCTAAATTTAACCAGCATGATGTTGAACATCTTCAGCGTTACCACTGGCCTGGACCATTTTTTCTTTTTAAAGCTTAAATTGATTTAAATTATTCTTTCATCTCAAATAGTTTGGGTCCAAGATTACACAAAAGACTATAAAAACAAAGTTTGGTTTAAATCAATATTATATGCAATTACGTGAAATGCAGACTTCAAAAACTGATCCCAACTAAAATTTCATCTATAAAATTTATTACACATGACACCATTTGCATGTTATACATATAATTATTAATGCCTAATAATGCTGGGACATCATGCTCTAGCTGTTTCTTCACTGAATACCAAAATTGTCAAATAAAACACTTGACACAATCTCTTCACAACATTCCTGTTGCTTCCACTCTTGAAAAAAAAAACCTGGATTAAAATAACTGGGATATACAATATCCATGATTGTAACTGTACTTGGTCTATTGTCTGGCAAATGCACATTGTAAAATTGTCTGTTACTATTCCAAATGTCACTGGTAGTCTAGTTTATGTCATCTTTTATCTGGTTTCTCCAGTATGTTCAAAAACTTCCCCCTTGTCATTTCTCGAGCTAGAAAATATAATGTGAAAATCATTGTAAATAAGTAGAGATAGCAACATATCTAGTAGTTTTTAAAACTGTGGATCATCCAAGCTTGACAAAAATGCAAGCTTTTGACGCTGCTTGAAGTCATATGGGACAAGAAAAACTTGTGTGACATGGGGTCAATTTTTTTTTACAATATAGATATAACTCAGTGCTGGAAATGTCTTCTTAGAAAGCAATACAAAAGTGACATCCAAAATATGGTGAATTAGTTCTGTGGTGCAACAGACTAATTTGACACAAAAATATCCTTGTGCAAATGATTTTCAATTGATTTTTGAAACAACTTTATTTGGCTTCACGTGTCTGAGGACTCCAGTAACTGAAATCTCTTTCCTACCTTCATCCAATCCTAACTGGTAGGCAAGATTCTGTAGTCCACGCACTTTGTCCATCAACTGAGATGTGGTCAGGCTGCCAAACTCTGTAATAAAAATGGGTTGCTTAGATATCAAAATGTACAACCTTTTGTAGTAGTGAACTGCCCTGTTGACATGGAATATTCTCGCTTTGAATTGCTTGACAAATGGGCACTATGCAGAAACAAAATTGTGCAGATTTCATGGTGTAGATTGATAGACTTGCTTACCAAAGAGTCTTTACTCTCTTTCACAGTTTATGCATTTCTAAAATTCATAATCAAAATTGCCAAATGGCTGAACTTTTTAGACTAGAACATGTATATCATTATTGTTCACCTTGCAACATGTCTATATCATCCTTTTCTAAGTCTGCCATCCATTTTGCTGGAGTATTGGAACCAGATCCAGGCTGAAAGGTAGTTTGGATCATAGTGATTGCACAGTTCATATATTCATAACTGTTCTTAATTTGAATATAGCTTAAAGACATTGCTTTCCAACACGACTCCTAGGCTTCTGAAGTTATCATTTAAATGTAGAACAATTCAGTTTAGTTTTTCATGATTTTTGTTTTACATTCACAAATAACAATTGCAAATGGTAAACATTTCATAAACTATATTAAGATTAGACATGTATTTTTAATAAAACAATAAAACTGCTTTAAATGACGAAGGAGAGAGCATCAATCTGTACTTACACTTTTAACAGCAGCAAATTCCAAGACCCCAGGTACTGGAAATAAAAAATACCCATGAAAATTAGCAATCCTTGCAGTTTTCACAAATAATATAGATTTAGAAAAATTCAAAAATGACTTTATTTTACAATATGTTTACACTTAATATTTAAAACAACATATAATCAAATTAACACTGAAACATCAATATTCCAGTCAGGGGTTTTTATTAGTAAATATTATACAAGTAACAAATGGTCATTACTTTGCTCTGGCCAGAGGTCAGGAGAAGCTCTGTCAAGTCTCTCAAAACTCAGCAATGACTGATCTAGGTCCAGATCGCTGTCTGAAAATACAGAAAAAACACCCAAGATGTGTATGTTTACCCTTTCATAGCTACAATTTACAAACGTCCGTATAGACGAAAAATCGTTGAAATGAACACTGTGATGCACTGAACCTTGCATATGACATAAAAAAATAAAAGGACCCATATCAGAGTAAGGAATATGTAATCTTCAAAGGCAAAGACATCGCAGTTGCAGTCGAGGAATTTGTAAACAAATCTAGTCGTAAACAAAGGCCCCGTTTAAGCAACATGTTGGAATCCAAGGTGTTGAAATGACAATTAACACTGATACTGAAGTATTGGTTATTCTGCAATACTCCCGATAATTCATGCACAAAACAACGTCATACAGTTCTATGCTAAAACAAGAATTTGAAAATTACCCGCACTTGCTGACGCCATTTATGCGACCCGGATTCTCATTGGCGCGCTGTAAATTTGTACGTACTGTATATGTAATAAAATATAATATAGACACATTTCATTAATTTAACATCAAACAAGGTAAAAAATTATAGATTTTACCCAAAGTGTATTGATAACTTAGTTCTGAAATCTTAATCCACGAAGACGGGGCTTATATGTAATCAACTTTTTACACGCGCTTGAGGGTACAAATACGTCAACAGACTGGACAAAATGCTGCGAGTTTCCACGCTTTTGAAGCAGGTAGGGTGGTATAAAAGTGTGTTGTCAGCCTCTTTTGCATATGCAAGTAGAATGATATTAATAGAAATAGTTGATTGGTATATTGTGCAGCGTCACTGCATTTTTAATTAGCAGACAAGTGGACAATATCTCGACCAACTTTGACGCTATCTTTACAATGCAAAGCAGTGCCGTACATGGGACTTGGTATTGCGTCCTTACAAGAAGCGAATATCTTTCTAAAGCCATGATAAAGACAACTCGCGTTCTTTAGTAAGGCCTTTTTACTCAACTGTGTGATCATCAAATTCAACCAAACTCTCCTAGTTAATCCGCGTGCTTTAAAATTCCAACTGAAAATAAGATTGTGGGTAGTAAACTAGGCCAAAGGGTCAAAGCACCGGTGGTTGCGGGGGTTGTTGTATAATATATTTATAGAGCGTGGAACGAGACCGGGCCAGATGTAGAGCAGCGCGTCTCCCAAATCAGCACAGTCTGACCAACTCATGAAACTTTGTAGCTTTATATTAAAGCCTGTTGAATATTAATGAAGCTAATAATAATCCCTTCCATTATTCATTTTATTTGTTGAGTAGAATTTAAATGTTTAAATTAAGTACAGTTTTAAATAGCTTATGTAAGTGTGCAGACTGAATTAATCCAACATTTATTTTAATGCAATTTCACCTTGTTTGCAGTGGGAGTTTTTTCCTCTAAAAATATTTTGACAGTTGGTATGCAAGTGCCATTAGAAGAGCCATTGTTTGGTACTGTATTTTGTCCACTTGGCACTGTAGACAGAATAAGATCCTCTTATAATGATATATCCTAAATTTCATCAGTGAATATATAACACAAAAATTGTAATTGAAAATATTTGATTATCTAAGTTGGTTTTTATTTGTTTCTATTCCTCAGTGTATTGCTGCCCCAGGCTCAGTGAGTGCTCTGAGATTCTATGCAAGTGGGTCTGTGGTAGGTATACACAATGTGGTGTGAACTGTTACTTTTTATAAGTTCTTCCTTTGATCTCTTTGTATTGTTTAGGTAGTGGAATTTGCTTAAAGGATAGAAAAAAGTATTTGAATTAAAATAGAATAATGTAGATGATTTTCTGTATCTACGCTGTGGGACACGGAGAGAAATAACAAGAAAGTAACTTATTGTGTTCACTGGCATGATTGCATTTTTTTTTTTTCATTTTCATTTTAGCCCACTACAAAACTGTTTATAAATGGACAGTTTGTAGAATCCAAGACCAGTGACTGGATTGACCTTCATAACCCTGTAAGTAAAAATGGAGAATTTCAGTAGAGGTGAAATCAGCATTGGTTTAAAAAATTTTGTTTCCCTACAAATTATTTTATTTAACAAATGCATATGATGAAAAATGTAACAATTCAATTTTCATGTAATTATTTTGTATTTTATGTAAATAAGCATTTTTTTCAAAGTGATTTGAGTGAAGTGTCTGGTTTCACACAATTCTGTGTTTTGCTCTCAGGCGACCAATGAGGTCATCACCAGGGTTCCCAAGGCAACTCATGATGAGATGGAGGCAGCGGTGGCTGGGTGCAAGGAAGCCTTCAAGACCTGGTCAGAAACTACCATCCTCACCAGGCAGCAGCTCATGTTTAAGTTCCAGCAGTTGATCAAGGACAATCTGGTAACTTACTCTGACCTTTTGCCACTGAAAACATTAATTTACATTAGTACATGTACGTANACTCATGATGAGATGGAGGCAGCGGTGGCCGGGTGCAAGGAAGCCTTCAAGACCTGGTCAGAAACTACCATCCTCACCAGGCAGCAGCTCATGTTTAAGTTCCAGCAGTTGATCAAGGACAATCTGGTAATTGATTCTGACCTTTTGCTACTGGAAACATTAATCTACATTAGTACATGTACGTTGTTGCATGTGCATTCTCAAACATGCACCCAAGTGATCATTGTCACTGCCAGAAAAAATACCTAGGTCACCTTGCAGTGGCTTAAATAATCTAGCCAATCTGGTCACAGGTGTACATTTAAGTGAACATAGTTAATGCTACTTTTGTATACGTATTTTACACTCTCACCTCTCATAATCACCGCTTATATATGTCCAACCCCCACTGGATGGGTATACTCATTCTACACATAAACAGATGATCATGTGATTTTAGATTATCAAAATTTTGATTGCATTATAAACTGTGATAGATATTTGCTGTTAAAAATGGTAAAAATGATGCTAGAGACTGTTTTTAGAGAATAAAAAAATTTCACAAAAAGTGAGTTGTGATTTGAATTACCATTTTATATCTTTACAGAAACAAATAGCTGCCCTCATCACCAAAGAACAAGGAAAAACTCTGGCAGATGCTGAGGGAGATGTCATGAGAGGATTGCGTAAGTTTTAAAAATAAAGTTATTAATAGCTGTAATTCATGATAGTTAAACAGAATAACTAAACTAAACTTAAAGTGTATTTGTAGAAGTGTTAGATTTCAGGAAAATAATTCTTTGAGTTTAAAAAACATTTTCGTTTAGATATTTGAGATGTTTTGAAATACAGACACATTGTGTCTGTACATATCGTTATGCATCATGCATCTGTCATTTCTTTAGTTAGTGTTGGAGTGGTGGTCATTTCCTTTTTATAGATTTTGGTTTAAAAATACAACAAATTTTAAAAAAAAAGCAAAACAAAAATATTTACATTGTACTCCTGTTCAGTGTTGCTAACATTTTGATACCAGTTATCTGCCGTAGAAATGTGGTATAAATGTATGTTTTCATTTTTCATTGTGTATAGAGGTGATAGAGCATTGTTGTAGTATAACCAGTCTTCAGTTGGGAGAGACCCTGTCTGGAGTAGCCAAGGACATGGATATCTTCACCTATAGAGTTCCCCTGGGGGTCTGTGCTGGAATCACACCTTTCAACTTTCCTGCTATGATTCCATTGTGGGTAAGGAAAGAGCAATATCCATTCAAGTTTATTAATGTGCATTCGTATATTGAACTTTAAATAATTAAGGTTATGTAAACTCTAAGACTAAAGTTTATGTAATATGTATTGTAGTTACATGTACATACTATGACCTTCTTTATTAACCTAGATTTCATTACATACTACATTGCCTTATTTTTACATGGCCATTTTTTTCTTTGGGTTGCGGGGGGTTGTTGTATAATATATACCATAATATATACCGGCTGCTGTGTGTACAGTAAGATAGTTTCATCACCTGTTGTAATGCTGATTATTGAAATATGATGTATTTTGATCAGTTTATATCAGTTACTGTATTAAAACTTCTTGAAATTAAGTATGTTTTTGCCTTTGTTGTGTGTTAAAACAATAGCACCATATTCCAGTTTGATATTCCTTGATATTTTCTTATGAAAAAATTAATTTTTTTTGACATTCTGATATTCTGATGTACATATATTTGGGGGAGGGTAGATGTTTCCCGTGGCCCTGGTGTGTGGTAACACGTCCCTGATCAAACCCTCCGAGCGTGATCCTGGGGCCACCATGATGATGATGGAGCTGGTGAAAGAGGCGGGATTCCCTGATGGAACTGTTAATGTGATCCATGGAGCACATGAAGGTGAGTTAAGCATTAGTCATTACAGCTTGGGGTGATGTGGGGTTGGGGGTATTGAAAGTCATGCCCTTTAGGCCAGTAAAGGTCCAGTCTGAATAAAAATTTGGTCTGAGTTCTTTGAAATTTCTCAAGGTGGTTCAAAAGGAAAAACCGGTGTACTTTTTTTCAGAAAAGAACCCCCTTTGAAATTTCTGGCTACAGGCATGTATCCAAATAAAGGATGCCTGTCACATTTTTCTAATAAATTTGCTACATATTCTGAAGACTTTCCATAAACATATAGGTTGTGACTACATATCTTTTACCTTGTTGTCATTTTTTTTTTGATGAAAATACAAGCAATATTTGCCTTTTCAGCCGTCAACTTCATTTGTGATCATCCAGACATCAAAGCAATCTCATTTGTTGGGTCTGACCAAGCTGTAAGTAAAACTTATGAATAGAAGTTTTTGAATTGTTGGATTTTATTTTGGTAAATCTTTTTTATATATTTAAAGAAAAGGTAAACTGTGTCATTGTAGCTAAAATGTTTACATTTATATTTTGAACAGAAAAATCTTTATATATTTAAAGAAAAGGTAAACTGTGTGATTGTAGCAAAAATGTTTACATTTATATTTTAACAGAAAAATCTACCTATTTTACTCATTTTAGGGTCAATACATCTATGAGAGAGGTTCAAAGAATGGCAAAAGAGTGCAGAGCAATATGGTATGTATACATTTTAACACTCAAGACTTAATGTTGGAGAGACAGAGAAGCAATATGCCTTAATAATTAACTCATTATTATTTTTTTTAATATTAAATTGGGTTATTTGCAAGAATGTGACATTTATTCAAAGAGTATATTTGCAAGGTTAAGGCATTTATTCAGTGCTTTCTGAATGACACTTAATGGGGTTATTTCTTTTTTGGGACATTTATGTACTCTTTGAAGAGATGTTTAATAAACCTGTGATATTAAGTGTATGTTCAAACCTGAAACTGATGGTTTGAATATTTCATATGTATCATTTTTATAAAAAAAAAACTATTTTCAGGGAGCCAAAAACCATGGAGTGATAATGCCAGATGCCAACAAGGAAATGGCTCTAAATCAGGTATGAACAGAAGACGTGTTATTATCTTGATTATTCAAAAGAACTTTGGTTTAAGTTTTTTTGGTATTATTCAGTGTATAGTACCAAGTACTCAATGAATTTTTTTAATCTTTGAATAATGTATAATGATGAGTGTTCTTTATTTATAATATAATTTTTTCGATAGTAATGATACTGTTTAAAGCGCATGGAAAGATTTTAGAATCAAATTTTTATTCATAAGTGCAGCTTTAATCTAGTTAATTACTACAGTTAAAATAGTCCACAGTGTATTACTTTGAGCTGTAGATATAATATTGAAAGAAAGTGAAACCAGTTGTTACAATAAACAGTAATAGGCAGCATGAGCCCAGTATGCAATCTTTACAAACAACGGCACCACTGCATGCATATTTATTGCAAAGATGGATGGATACTGATCTCTAGTTTATATCCATATGTTCCCATATCCTAGTATTATGTGGATATTGAATTCTAGTTTATCCATATATTCCCATATCTTGGTATTATGTGGATGGATCTTGAACACTGGTTTATATCCATATATTCCCATGTCCTAGTACTATGTAGATGGATACTGATCTCTAGTTTATATCCATATATTCCCATATTTTAGCTGTGTGGAGCTGGGTTTGGTGCAGCAGGACAGAGGTGTATGGCATTATCTACAGCTGTGTTTGTAGGGGAGGCAAAGACATGGCTACCTGAACTTGTGGAGAGAGCACAGAAACTGAAAGTTCATGCAGGTATTTAGAGAAAGAGTTTTCAAAGGCTGTGCATTGGTGCTGTATGAAAATTGTTTATATTAGGTAGGGAGTCCGTCTAGATGTTAATCCTTGGAAATGTATTGTTCAATTTCATTAGACAAAAAAAAAAGTAATAGTAAAAAAATAGTGTCATTAAATAAAAAAATGTTTTTCACAGGAAGTGAGCCTGGTGCAGACCTGGGGCCACTGATCAGTCCTGAGGCCAAGAAACGTGTGTGTGATCTCATTCAGAGCGGCGTGGACGAGGGAGCCGAAATGCTCCTGGATGGCAGAAATGTTGTGGTGCCCGGATATGAGAAGGGAAATTTTGTTGGACCAACCATTCTGAACCATGTCCAGGTGAGTTGAGGCCCTAGCTAACAATAAGACTGTACCAAGTGCTTAATGTTAATATTTGGGTTATTTGGGCCACTTTGTCACTGGTTTAAAGAATATTAGTTAATTGGTCAAAGTTAGTCATTTTAGAGAGATCCCTGTGTAGAATACAGCTCAGCTCATCTTAAATCGGTTTTGTGTTCTGTTTTGTTCAATTTACTTGACATGGTTGTGAAGTATTGACAAATTGCAGTGGAACTGAATTTTATTCACTTTTAATTTATAGCCAAAGATGAAGTGTTACAAAGAGGAAATCTTTGGACCAGTTCTTCTGTGTATGGAAGCAGATACCCTTGATGAAGCTATTCAAGTTATTAATGATAATGCATATGGAAATGGAACTGCCATCTTTACAAACAATGGCGCCACTGCGCGCAAATTTATTTCAAAGATTGATGTTGGACAGGTGAGACACTTTTTTTTTAAGAGCTCACACAAGAAGTTATGGAAAAAATATTCTTGGTCATCAAAGAGGTAAAGAAAGTTATATTTTGCATTTAGATATTTTAATAATATTTTAAAAAATACTGAAAAAACATTATTCTTTTGATATTCTTCTTATAAGAAAGAACATACTGCTCAATGGTGTAAGAGAACAAGGTTTAGAGAAAAGAAGAGTTAAATTATGAAGAATTAAGTTACAATGGCTGCATTCATAACCAGTTGTTCTGCAGACTAACTGATCCGCTGATCAAATATGGCTGACCCACCTAAATACTTGCTGCATAAACCCCTAATAGACACTGAATAGATTCCTCATGGGGATTACGTGGCAAGCTTTCAAGTGGGTTAAAGGCCATATTAGTTCCCAGATCTGTTAGTCTGCAGATCAATTTTGGTTGTAAATGTGATTAAAGATTTAACAGTGGACTTACTCTTGGTTCAGGTTGGTGTAAATGTCCCCATCCCTGTGCCTCTGCCCATGTTCTCTTTCACTGGTTCCAGAGGATCGTTCAGAGGGGACAGCCATTTCTATGGGAAACAGGTAAACTTGATACGCTGATTGTTGATATTTGGGTGTGTAATGGGAAACCGGTAAACTTAAAACATTTTAATAAAATCGCTAAAACGTAATTGAAAACAGGTGAACTTGAAACAGTGATTGCTGATAGGGGTGTGTAATGACAGCAAGGTAATTGGAAACAGGTAAACTTGAAACAGTGATTGCTGATAGGGGTGTGTAATGACAGCAAGGTAATTGGAAACAGGTAAACTTGATACACTGATTGCTAATATGCAGACATGAGCTTTTTCTGCAGAAAAGTGAAATTCAGCATTTTTTAATTCAACTCTGGTGGTTCCTGAGATTCGTCAAGGTTGATGCAAATCTGCAATAAAAAGTTGGCATATCCCCCATGTCACATTTTCAGACTTTTTCACTAAATGGCTGTCTCATGCCTGGTACTGATCATAAGAGAGGTCTTTAAAAGGAAATGGTGACATGAGATTGTACATGTTTTTGGAATCTTTCATTGGAGTATATGCAATATTTGTATCCAGTTAGTGAAAGTTTTGACAAGGCATCTTAAATAGCCCAGTGTATGTAGAGTACAAAATTGAAAAGCTTGTAGAATTTTATAAATTGGAATGAGAAAATGTGATATTGATAAAAGTCCTAAATCCAAGTCATAGAATAACCCATGGAATTTTTCGTTCATTTTCTTCTGTATGAATCCCTGAAAAAATTTGTTACTAAAGAGAAAATAGCACACGTTTTACCAGTCTGTGCCAAGTACTTGTGAACTTACAGACCATCCAGGCCACCATGTTTTGAATCTACTAGCTTGAACCAAAATTCACTGCCTCAAGTTCAATTTTCACAAAAATTACTTAAATTAACACATTAAGATTAAACAAGCTTCCAATTACAATTAAGAACAAAAACACAGGGTTTTCAAAAGGCTATTAAAAAGACTTCAGCATTTAGACTGGGATTGGCAGTCAGGACAGTGGTTTACTTTGCAGACTGTTTTATTGTGTCCATAGCAGTGGATATCATTTGCAAATTGCATTAGGTGAGAAACGGTGATTGTGTCAGGCTCTTGCGTGTTCTGGTATAATGAAAATAATGATTGCACTAAATATCAATTTGATTTGGAAGAAATAAATTTGTTCCAGTGAAAATAATTTACAGTTTGGGAATTGTTCCAGTATTTATCACATTGAGGTTATCTCTACTGAATTTGATATCTGTATCACATAACATGCAATTGTTTGATTAGATTTAAAAGCATATCACTTGAGGCATTGTAAATTACTTTAAATGATGTTAAGCTTTATGTGAAACCTTGAAGTTGAAAGTTCTCTAATCTTGTTGATTTTGCAGGGGAAAAAAAAGTCTTATGGTCTTGAATTGAAATGCAGTTGTCATTGGGCTGCACAAGATACAAANAATTTTATTTTGGTAAATCTTTTTATATATTTAAAGAAAAGGTAAACTATGTCATTGTAGCTAAAATGTTTACATTTATATTTTGAACAGAAAAATCTTTATATATTTAAAGAAAAGGTAAACTGTGTGATTGTAGCAAAAATGTTTACATTTATATTTTAACAGAAAAATCTACCTATTTTACTCATTTTAGGGTCAATACATCTATGAGAGAGGTTCAAAGAATGGCAAAAGAGTGCAGAGCAATATGGTATGTATACATTTTAACACTCAAGACTTAATGTTGGAGAGACAGAGAAGCAATATGCCTTAATAATTAACTCATTATTATTTTTTTAAATATTAAATTGGGTTATTTGCAAGAATGTGACATTTATTCAAAGAGTATATTTGCAAGGTTAAGGCATTTATTCAGTGCTTTCTGAATGACACTTAATGGGGTTATTTCTTTTTTGGGAAATTTATGTACTCTTTGAAGAGATGTTTAATAGACCTGTGATATTAAGTGTATGTTCAAACTTGAAACTGATGTTTTGAATATTTCATATGTATCATTTTTATAAAAAAAAACTTTGACAGGGAGCCAAAAACCATGGAGTGATAATGCCAGATGCCAACAAGGAAATGGCTCTAAATCAGGTATGAGCAGAAAACATGTTTTATTATCTTGATTATTCAAAAGAACTTAGCTTTAAGTTTTTTTTTTGTATTATTCAGTGTATAGTACCAAGTACTCAATGAATTTTTTTAATCTTTGAATTGTATAATGATGAGTGTTCTTTATTTATAATATAATTTTTTTTGATAGTAATGATACTGTTTAAAGCACATGGAAAGATTTTAGAATCAAATTTTTATTCATAAGTGCAGCATTAATCTAGTTAATTACTACAGTTAAAAAAGTCCACAGTGTATTGCTTTGAGTTGTAGATATAATATTGAAAAAAGTTGAACCAGTTGTTACTATTAAACAGTAATAGGCAGCATGAGCCCAGCATGCCATCTTTAAAAACAACGGCACCAATGCACGCATATTTATTGCAAAGATGGATGGATCATAAGTTTATCCATATATTCCCATATTTTAGCTGTGTGGAGCTGGGTTTGGTGCAGCAGGACAGAGGTGTATGGCATTATCTACAGCTGTGTTTGTAGGGGAGGCAAAGACATGGCTACCTGAACTTGTGGAGAGAGCACAGAAACTGAAAGTTCATGCAGGTATTTAGAGAAAGAGTTTTCAAAGGCTGTGCATTGGTGCTGTGTGAAAATTTTTTATATAAGGTACGGAGTCAGTCTAGATGTTAATCCTTGGAAATGTATTGTTCAATTTCATTAGACAAAAAAAAAAAAAGTAATAATAAAAAAAATAGTGTCATTAAATAAAAAATTGTTTTTCACAGGAAGTGAGCCTGGTGCAGACCTGGGGCCACTGATCAGTCCTGAGGCCAAGAAACGTGTGTGTGATCTCATTCAGAGCGGTGTGGACGAGGGAGCAGAAATGCTCCTGGATGGCAGAAATGTGGTGGTGCCTGGATATGAGAAGGGAAATTTTGTTGGACCAACCATTCTGAACCATGTCCAGGTGAGTCGAGGCCCTAGCTAACAATAAGACTGTACCAAGTGCTTAATGTTAATATTTGGGTTATTTGGGCCACTTTGTCACTGGTTTAAAGAATATTAGTTATTTGGTCGAAGTTAGTCATTTTAGAGAGATCCCTGTGTAGAATACAGCTCAGCTCATCCTAAATCGGTTTTGTGTTCTGTTTTGTTCAATTTACTTGACATGGTTGTGAAGTATTGACAAATTGCAGTGGAACTGAATTTTATTCACTTTTAATTTATAGCCAAAGATGAAGTGTTACAAAGAGGAAATCTTTGGACCAGTTCTTCTGTGTATGGAAGCAGATACCCTTGATGAAGCTATTCAAGTTATTAATGATAATGCATATGGAAATGGAACTGCCATCTTTACAAACAATGGCGCCACAGCGCGCAAATTTATTTCAAAGATTGATGTTGGACAGGTAAGACACTTTTTTTAAAAGCTCACACAAGAAGTTAGGGAAAAAATATTCTAGGTCATCAAAGAGGTAAGGAAAGTTATATTTTGCATTTAGATATTAAAATACTGAAAAAAAAAATTATTCTTTTGATATTCTTCTTATAAGAAAGAACATATTGCTCAATGGTGTAAGAGAACAAGGTTTAGAGAAAAGAAGAGTAAAATTATGTAGAATTAAGTTGCAATGGCTGCATTCATAACCAGTTGATCTGCAGACTAACTGATCCCCTGATCAATCATGGCTGACCCACTTAAATACTTGCCGCATAAACCCCTAATAGACACTGAATAGATTCCTCATGGGGATTACGTGGCAAGCTTTCAAGTGGGTTAAAGGCCATATTAGTTCCCAGATCTGTTAGTCTGCGGATCAATTTTGGTTGTAAATCTGATTAAAGATTTAACAGTGGACTTTCTCTTGGTTCAGGTTGGTGTAAATGTCCCCATCCCTGTGCCTCTGCCCATGTTCTCTTTCACTGGTTCCAGAGGATCGTTCAGAGGGGACAGCCATTTCTATGGGAAACAGGTAAACTTGATACACTGATTGTTAATATTTGGGTGTGTAATGGGAAACCGGTTAACTTAAAACATTTTAATAAAATCGCTAAAACGTAATTGAAAACAGGTAAACTTGAAACAGTGATTGCTGATAGGGGTGTGTAATGACAGCAAGGTAATTGGAAACAGGTAAACTTGATACACTGATTGCTAATATGCAGACATGAGCTTTTTCTGCAGAAAAGTGAAATTCAGCATTTTTTAATTCAACTCTGGTGGTTCCTGAGATTCGTCAAGGTTGATGCAAATCTGCAATAAAAAGTTGGCCTATCCCCCATGTCACATTTTCAGACTTCTTCACTAAATGGCAGTCTCATGCCTGGTACTGATCATAAGAGAGGTCTTTAAAAGGAAATGGTGACATGAGATTGTACATGTTTTTGGAATCTTTCATTGGAGTATATGCAATATTTGTATCCAGTTAGTGAAAGTTTTGACAAGGCATCTTAAATAGCCCAGTGTATGTAGAGTACAAAAATGAAAAGTTTGTAGAATTCTATAAATTGGAATGAGAAAATGTGATATTGATAAATGTTCTAAATCCAAGTTATAAAATAACCCATGGAATGTTTCGTTCATTTTCTTCTGTATGAATCCCTGAAAAAAATTTATACTAAGGAGAAAATACCACACGTTTTATCAGTCTGTGCCCAGTACTTGTGAACTTACAGACCATCCAGGCCACCATGTTTTGAATCTACTAGCTTGAACCAAAATTCACTGCCTCAAGTTCAATTTTCACAAAAATTACTTTAATTAACACATTAAGATTAAACAAGCTTCCAATTACAATTAAGAACAAAAACATGGGATTTTCAAAAGGCTATTAAAAAGACTTCAGCATTTAGACTGGGATTGCCAGTCAGGACAGTGGTTTACTTTGCAGACTGTTTTATTGTGTCCATAGCAGTGGATATCATTTGCAAATTGCATTAGGTGAGAAACGGTGATTGTGTCAGGCTCTTGCGTGTTCTGGTATAATGAAAATAATGATTGCACTAAATATCAATTTGATTTGGAAGAAATAAATTTGTTCCAGTGAAAATGATTTACAGTTTGGGAATTGTTCCAGTATTTATCACATTGAGGTTATCTCTACTGAATTTGATATCTGTATCACATAACATGCAATTGTTTGATTAGATTTAAAAGCAAATCACTTGAGGCATTGTAAATTACTTTAAATGATGTTAAGCTTTATGTGAAACCTTGAAGTTGAAAGTTCTCTAATCTTGTTGATTTTGCAGGGGAAAAAAAAGTCTTATGGTCTTGAATTGAAATGCAGTTGTCATTGGGCTGCACAAGATACAAATGTTTTGTTTAAATCCACAAAAAATACTGTTTTAAACCTTAGTTGAAACATTTTACAGTCCAAAAAATTTGCCAGAACTTGGGTCTTTTTTGCTGACAAAATGAGTTTAAATAGGTACACATTTGTGGCCCTGAGTTTATGGACATTATAATATAAAAATACACATAATTCATACATAATGGTTTTCTGCATTGAACCATATTCTAGAAAAGGCTTCTTATATCAAGCTGAGAAGGCTTTGTTAAATTCTCATGGGGATACACCTAGTTTTTTGGACCATGCTGCAGTTTCAATAGAAGATACAATAAACTACTCTTTGAGAGCCTAATAATGAACTTCCCCAGCTGTATATAGGCACAAAGGATGAATGTTTTATGGCACATTGATCATTTCTATTATTGACAGGCCAGTTGAGTTGTAGCATTACTTTGTGGTATTTCATATTTTGTTGTACATGATTGGAACGAAAAAAAAAAAAAGGAACAAAGGCACTTATACTTATTGCTTTTAAATTTTTTATAAGTTAACTTTATGTGTTGGAGCAATGCTTTGAAGGTGATGATGAAAGTAATATCATTAGTAAAGGAATGGTGGGAGGCAAACTGGGGATATGTGAATATTAATATTTTATATCAAGTCTAATGATTTTAGTCAAGCATTTCAAAATAAAATGAAGTTTGATTTGAAAAAACAATGACAAGTGGAATGGAAATTGATAAATTCCTTTGGCTCAGGTTTTGATAATAAGGAATCATTTTGAATTTAGGAATTGGCAGTTGATGTTGATATTACTTAGATCCATACCAGGAATCTGTAATACTGTAAATAACCAAAATGTAATTATTTGGTCTAATATTTGATGACTAGAAAATTTAAGTGGGAGGGTGACTTGAAAGGGGAAGTCTGTTTCAATAACTCTTGGACTCACTACAAGTTTTCAGATTAGGAAGGAGTTGGTTGAGTTACTGAATCTAGAGTTATCAAATAAAACCACCTGTGTATGGTTAGCATGTTGATTTACCATCCATTTCACACCTGTGAAACATTGAGGATGTGGCTTGAGGGGGGTGAAAATCGTGAGAATTTATCCCGAGAGGTTGTGCATTTGGTGACTTTGATAAGTGAGAATTTTATCAGGTGAAAGCAATCTACCTGTCAAAGATGTGGAAATGAAAGTATTAAGTTTGGACTTAAAGGAAGTATTACTTTTTAAATTGGTTACTTGATTTTGTGGACTGTTTAATTTTTTGCCTTAAACAAATGTTTTATTTTTTCCATTTGTTTAACATTTCAGTCTGTGGTCATTTTGACCTCCAGTTTGACAGCTGTTTTACTTGGTGTGCTAGTGAAAATTTTTCCATCTGGGAACATTTAAGTTGCCAGAAACCTATTAAAGTGATACAACTGCCATGTTACTCAATTTAATGGTAGGCCAGACAGTACTGATGAATTGTCCAACAAGTTTGACTGAACTAATATGAGGAAATAAGTTTTTTGCACGGTTATTTTCTTCTTTGTTATGCTGAAAAAAAAACTTTCTTTGTGGATTAACCAACTTATCAGTTTTGTCTGGTCTTATCTGTAAAAAAATCCTGATCTCACTCATTTTTAAAGGATATTTATATAGAAATAGTAATATACATTAAAAAGTAACTGTTTACAATAATGGATGAATTTTTTGTTTTGAAAAGCACAGGTGTTGAAAATGCAAAGTTCTTATCATGCCCAACACTGTAATTTCTTAGCCAATTTAGTTGTAACCTTCAGCATTGTCCTTGTACTATTCCATTTTTTCTGTCATTATGTTCACTAAATGGGCAATCAGTTAAAAATAGGATTTATGATAACGTCAGTTTTTGCATACTGACTTTTCAAATGAAGTATTTGTCTCAAAATAGATATCTTTAAGAATCTTGATGGATAGTTATGGTTGCTGTTCATATTAAAGATGCTTGCTCAAATAGTGATTTTGCATGACTTTATTTCTTCTTTTATTTTAATAGGAAAGATGATGTAATTTATTTTAGAAAAAACTGGACTATTGTCTGTAGCATAATTTTCTTAAACACTATCAAAGAAAACCATGCCATTGACCTAATGTAGATAGTGTTTTGCGTTGAAGATCGATTCTTGGCATCCATTTGTGGGGTTGATTGATTATTTGCATGCTGTATCCTAGACTTTTACATGTCACTGCTACATGTCTATGTGCTTCTACATGTACAATGGTATGCACTGAGTTTGTATCCCACAAAATGGCTTTTTCACTCTCACTCAGTACGTAATATGGTATATATCACACATTTTCCCTCAAAATCCACCATTTTGAACTTTAGGAGCAAAAGGTTACATCTTGAACATTTATTCCGTTTATCAAGTATAGAGTCATTTTTATTTTTTTTTAAATTTTGTTTGTCAATTGTTGCATGAACTGTTTGTCAGCTTTTTAATACATGGTTCTAATTCTTCTCAAATTTCTGAAACTGTGAATGTTTTTTCATATCATACTGATGAAAATCTTTTGATGCACACACCAAAAGAAATTGGACAATGTGAGGATGAGCTATTATCACAAACAGACAGATTGTTGAATTAGGTAATTCTTTTTAGAGAAATGACTGTCATTATTGATGAATTCATTGTTGGAGTGGAGGAAATGGTTATGTTTTGAACAGTGAGCAATTCCCATAACAGCCACGGTTTACCTCAAATCTGATATCCGGTTTTCAATATTGCTAGTTTAGTGTCAATTCCGTTCAAGGACAAAATTATTGATATATTGATCATTTTACAAAAACATGACTTCAGGCACAGGAAATAGGATCCTTTGGCTGTAGGAGCTTTATTTGTTTTGATAATACTGTATGCAGAGGGCTTTCTAATGGAGAGCAGTTCTGGTGTGTTAGCAGGAAATGTAATAAATATGAACATTTAGGTACATATCTTATGCAAGGTTGCCGCCAGCTTAAAGCTGTTTATAACTGCAAATGTTTATTATGAAGGATTTACAGCATTGTTCACTTAAAAAATGAATAATAAAGAATATTTAGTGAAGGAAGGAATGCTGTAGATGGGTAATTTTATTTTTGGCACACATACTTCTGGCAGGTTTTAGAGTGGAGAATATGACTAAATACCCGTTGGTAGCATTTTGTCATTGGGTGATAATTAGTTCGTTGTTTCTCTTTCTGTTGCAGCTGCTACAAGAATTTGATAATCAGGCTCTTAAAAGAAGTAAGGCAACACCTTACTATTTCATTGTTAAAGGAGGATATTAGAATCACTTCTGTGATAGAGTGAGGAAGCACTTGGTTAACACACAATTATTTAAGGTTGAGATTTTGTTCATGGGAGAGGGTGTCCTAGAATTGAATATAAGATGGGCAATATTTTCATTTGTTTTAGCAAGAAACTTCCAATAAATATAAAATTTTAGGTTTTTTATGCAAGGTTGCCACCTGCTTATTTATTTATTTGCATAGCTAAAAGAGGACAAAAGTAATAGTTCACTTACAAAACAAAGGAAGGAAACCTCTAGATTGGTAATTTACTGGTAGAATACATGCACCTTATCACCACAACAGGGTTTGCTTGGTTACAATAAACTTTGGTTACAATAAACTTTCTGTGGAGCATATTCATTTTTCTGGCAGGTTTGAGAAGTACGAATATGTCTAAAACCCCATTGGTAGCATTGTCAGTGGGTAATAATTGGTTCTTTATTTTTCTTTCTGTTGCAACTGCTAAATCAATTTTGATATTCAAATATTTAAAAGAAGTAAGGCAATACCTAAATTGTTCAGGGAAGGCATTATACTTCAGTCACTACCATGATCAACATTAACATTTGATAATTGAAGTCTGAAGATGTAGGGCAACACTGGATTAACACTTAGTTAATAACAGTCTGAGATATGTGTTCATGGAAATGGTGTCTTGGATATGAAGAGGGTGTTATCCTAAAATGGAATATAAGATGGACAATACTTACATAAAACTGATCAGAAAAAAAAATTACCAGTTGTAATCAAGTGAGGTTATTGGTGTGTAATATAATTTGTCTGCTCCCCCTCTCCCCAGGTTGTCAATGTGAAGGACTCAGAGACTCAGGTAAATTTATTTTCACCTCCTGTTTATATACATGTATATGTATCTGTTTGTAATTCTTTCTGTTCTCATTTTTGTCATGTTTCTCCTCCAGGGAATCCATTTCTACACCCAAACCAAGACAATTACACAGATGTGGCGCGAGGACGATGCTACGGACACACAAGCAGCCACTGCCATGCCTGTAATGCGCTAAAACCTCGCGGAAAAAAATATTTAAAAAAAACAGAATTAGGAAAATGGAGCCTGCATTCCTTGCCAAAGGCACACCATGAGAGAGTTTTGTATAATGGGTGCCGACCTTTGTCATGAAATGATGATCACATGTACTCTATGAATAACCACTTATCCGTATGAGATATGCTCATTGATTTGAAGATTGATATATTTGTTTAGAGTTGATAGAATTTTTTTACCAAATTCAGTACAAACTGAAATGTGGTTAACTTAATGAATTAGGCAATTAATTGATAGCAAAAAGATAAATGAAATTTAAGCTCACATTCTTTCATCATTAATAAGGCATCATTTTATAAAGCAGCGTAATCTGTAATTATACTTCCACATATTGAAAGTATGCAAAAGAAAGGAAGAAAAAATTATAATCATGTTTCTGTGGGCAAATTAAGAGGGGCAGCTAATCATGACTCATCCTTTCCTGGGAGATACAGTGCTTTGTGACGTGTATTTCTTTTGAAAAAAGCATTAGCAATATGGTAATATATGTATATCCACTTTAAAAATTTGCAGTTTGAAGTTTTGCAAATAACACGATTTCACATAAATTTGATTATTTTTATAAACATTCTTTGCCATGGCAGTAAAAACCCATATGTGACAGTCACACACTTTGAATATGCTGTACTTTTTATGAAAATAAATATAGTAATGTAAAAGGAAGTTTTCCTCAGATTTATGAATAATCAAATGACAGTTATGTTACTTTAAAAATATCTTTTTTATATCCATTTTTAATTTTCGAAGTTCAAAAAGACCAAAATTTGTATCAGTCTTTTATACAAGTTTTAAAAAAAAGTTTTTAAAATTATCAAGGGAAAACAATGTAATATTTTCCAACTTAAAATTATGAAAGGGGAAAAATCCAAATGTTTTAGTATTGCATAAAATAAAATGCATAATTACCCTAAGTGCCACATTCCTTGTTTTATATTCTGCCCATGTCAAGTGGAAGTAGGTGGAGTTGTAAGCATCATTCTCATTGGTTTGAACATAGACAAAAAATTGGGCTCAAGTGAAAAAAAGCAGCCCCCTCGATTGTAATGTGGCCCGTAAATCCTGTCAACTTTTTTGTGCTTTCCAGAGAATTACAGGTAACTAAGGGCTCATTCTCAATGAAACTACCATTCTACGTAGATGGATCAATTAACACGCCTCCTCTTGTTTACAACATACTCCTATAATCACCAGCTTGTACTCAACGCAAGTAGGTGTTAATCTGATTGCATTCTGCGAGAGTCCCAGCAGAGTGGGAGCGATCTACATAGAATAATAGTTTTATTGGAAATGAGCCCTTATATCCATTATCAACATACTCTTGATGTTTTCAGCCCCAGTTTCAGAGATAAGTGGATACTAAGTGTCAGTAACTGGTGCACATAATGATAAATAATAAGCACATCTTCCGCTGACAGCTCCACTGCTTGATAACTACAGGACTTCATACCTAGTGGTTATAATCCACCATGTTGCTCCAGATATCTTACCCAAACTACATTTTGGCATAATCACTGAAGACATGGCTAAGCTACACGGACAATGAAATTAACAACACAAAAAGCTGTTTTTACATTTATTCTTATAAATTATCAAAATGAAATATGTTAAAGATCAGGAAATCTAGTAATGTTTTTCCAATGACTGCATTTACGAACAAAATATTTTCTTTGTAATATTGTAACAAGATTATGTTGTTTTTCAACTTATTAACCAGGAACTCGAGCTTCAAGTCTGACAGTGTGCTGTATTTTCCCCACTTCAAAATGGACCTCCAGCAGGGAGGTACAAAGAAGAAATTCTTCCCAAAACCTGTTTTCGTACCTCATGCCAACATATACTACCACCATAACTTGCTTACATTGACAGTGGTCTTTCTTTCCAACCCATTTCATTATAATCTGAGTCAATTTCCCTTCATTTGTTATCCAATTGCTCCAAAACCACCAGACTATGAGAGAGAATATACGAAAATACCAATCTTGGCAGAACAGTCGTGGTAAAAAAAAAAAAAAGTGAATCTTCCCCTTTGAATGTGATATCTGATGTCACAATATTAAAAGATAATGTGAACAATATGACTAATAATATATTTTTAAAAATTATACACGGACTTCTCACCATTTTATGGACTCGAGTTCAAAAACCCAGTATAATTGGCATTGTTAGAAATGAAAGTGAAATTTGATAACAATAAGCTAGCTACCCAGTCAGCTGATAAAAATGTAAGATATGCATTTCATTCTCTACACTACACAATGCTGGTATAGTATAAAAGATAGCCACATTAATGGGTAAAGCATGTATGACCCAATTTAGCACTTACAAACCCACAGCTTTGGGCACAGCAATGATAGGCTTTTAATGTCATTACAACTGAAAAAAGTATGTTGCGCCCACCTCCTATGGGCAAACTATATACTAGAGAGATGATTATGCTATATATATATATATATATATATATATATATATATATATATATATATATATATATTCAGAACCCCACATAAAGAAATAGCATTCTTACTCTGGAGGCATTATACACATAGCATCATGCAGACAGGGCTATAAAATGCTGTCTGTGGGCCAAAATGGCCTCCACCCCCATGCAAAAATCTGAGCGCTGACATCAACGGCCTTTTTTTATCAGCTCTGTACTCTGATGTTATCTCTTTAGTAACTATAGGAAAAAAAAAAAACAGGAAGGATTTACATGCATAAGCAATGACAAGTGGAATTATAAAAAGATAAGACTGACACTGAGAGTGTTCTTTCCTTACCAACTTAGGTGTAATCCAATATAGTGTTTATATAGGATATACCTCAGACTCTTATTTTAACTTTCATTTTGTTCTCTGAGTCATTCACCTCCTCTAAGAGCTGTTAGAAACTGCAATATAATCAGTCATTGGCAAAGTAAAACTGACATAAAAGTGTAACAGAAACAAAAAAGAAATTGCTGTGTGCCACTTAGAAAAAAATCTTTCATCAAATCTGCATGTAATCCTGGGTCTCTGCTTCTCAATTTTGTCATGAACAATCATGCACAAATTACAACAAAAATTTGTAGTTTTTCTATAAATAACTATATCTCTGTATAAACAGTTCAATTTTCAAAACAACAATTGTCAAATTCCAAATGAAACCAAAAGATATAACAAGCTTTAATCCTCAATGATAATGTTACAGACGCCTTAGAAAAGGACAAAATGAGCAGGCATCTTAAGTTAATTACTGCTATAATTATCATCTATACCAAAAAATCTAATCAGTTCGTGCATGTTAGTTAAAAATTTATCTGAAATATATTAATTATTATCTGATCATAATATATATCATATCATAAAAGAACACTAGTCTATACTTTCTATAACTTGGCATTCATCACCATTTCACTTTGAGCTTGGTTGTCGCACATGTCAGTATCAGCACTGTAGTCAAACCTCCGCACCCGAACCTTCTGCTTGTAGTGGTAATACTTTAAGAATGCCTGCAGCTTTTTGGGCAGCGGCAAATACGTGACTCCATCATATGTAGTATTACTACAAATCACAGACCTGCAGAGATGTTGGAGTGAGAAGGGGTTGGTTCTGTTCAGGGGTATTGTCAACATTGGCTCAAAAAACATACAGCAACTGGGGTCCTTGTAGTGTTCAATAAGTCCACACACAGTATCTGCTGCAAAAACACCGGGATCGTGGGAATCAAAGCTGAATTTATGATTCCACTGCTCAATTCTGGCATGCAACGAGCGACCGTATCGCCTGAAACTGACAGAGAAAAGGAATTCCTCTTGAGCGCTGTCTCTTAGCAGGAATGTTCCTTCGGGGCGATTCTCCAATACGCGTTCTGCCTCGTAGCGATCCATGATGCCCCAGTAGAATCCGCAGGCTGAGATGTGGAGCAAGTCGGGCACCAGGCAATGGATGTAGTCCACCTGAGTGTGGACAGGCTGGGAAGGAGCAGGCACCATAACACTGGTACAGCTATTGATATCACTGTAATGAGATTCACTCTGGTGAGCCACAGTGCCATTTGTACTAGGACTGACATTAGGACCACCATGGGGCGCTACTGGTGGCGATGGTGATATAGATGAGGCAGCAAGGGCTGCAGACATTGGATATGTATTCTGTATAACAAGTTGTCTCTGTAGGACAATACCTAAAGTAGATATCTGATCTTCCAGGGGAATATGAGGTTGGTACGGCACATTTGGGCCAATAGTTATGTCAATCCCTCGCTCCATGTCTCTACGTCTCTGTTCTATCATGACCTCATCTGGGTCCACCGTGGGGTACTCCTCAGGGTCAAACTGAGACAAATCTATGAGTACTCTATCCGGTCTTACTACCATAGGACTCGGTACCACTCTTGCTAACATTTCCCTCGTAAGTCTCTGCTCCTGGTCACGGACTGCGAGGAGGCGACCTGCAGGTGGACCTGTCACAGGAGGTGTGTGTGTGTGTCCAGTAGCACCACCTTCAGCACCATCTGAAGAAGAAAACACCACACCTGGCCCCAACACGTGGTCCTGTGTACGCCTGTATCCAGTACACACACACCCACTGGCTGGGGATGAGGGTGTCACTTCTGCTAGTCCTGTGGTTTTACTTTTACGCATTCTATTTGCAAATCTGCCCTTTATCCGAAAAGATGACCAGAACCTCCTCCGCTTCTTGCCTGAATCTTTTGGTTTGTTACTATCAGATTTTCTCCTTCGTAGTGTTAACGTTCGTGTCAGTCTTTTTCTAGGGGATTCTGGTGTCCTTTGGGTTTCTATATCTTGAGCATCTGAACACTTATTTTTTCCAATTTTTGGTTTTGCTCCCTTGAAATCTTCATATGGGTCCTTCTTCTTACCAGCTTCTGCTGTTGGAACAACATTCTTTTCTTGATTATTCTTTGACTGATTTGACATAACTTTTTCCCTATTTTGAGCTTTATGGCTTTGAGAGGACTGACAATTTGCCATCTTTACGAATGTATGGTAAAAAGCTCCAATGAATAAATGATCCCATATCTTGCTGTGGTTTTACCACATGATTCTGAAATAAACAAAAGGAAATCATGAGTAAACAGATATTTAAAGAATGGGGATTTTTTCCGCTTTCTTTTTACAGTAGTCGGTACTTGGCCCCTAGTTCGCAGACAATAAATATGCTAGCGTGGAAATCAAAAAGACTGGTTTATTTTTGTTTTCAAACCAAAACCAAAAGTGACCCTGGGAAAATTATTAGTCATGCTCAAACTCACAATAAAGCATTCTTCTCACTTGCCGAACTTGTCTTGACTTGGTCGGATCGATATTGTCCATCTCAAACAAATCACACGAATGATCTAACTACAAAAACTGGTGATTCATTAGGCCATCCACTTCAGTGTAGTTAAAAATAGTCAAGAAATAAAATATACTCACAACGTTTTCTCTCACCAAACACTACGTCTGTACATAAAAGTACAAAATATGTTCTGTCTATGGTGCGGAAGTATGAGATTACCGATGACGTCACATGCAACGCAGTGAATGCACATATTTGCATATTTTTGAGGGGGAAAAATAGATTCAGTTAATAAAATTTTAAGACACTTTAAATGAGGATATGCCCTGAAAAAACTAATTTATGATGTTTAAATTTTATTCAATGCTAAAAATAACTTTCGAATACTGACCAATCATAACAGCATGTTGTTGCTTACTGCGGCCGTGGCGGGAATTCTTGATCAGGGATTTTGCGGGAAAAGAATCATTTGACTTTGTTAACCAAGTAACTGAAATGCCGGTTACTAAAAAACCTTTGCGTTTTAGTCATTGTGAGGGTCACACTGATCTTTGCTACAGTGATTCTGGGAGGTGAGTTGACAAATAGACCTCGTAGCATTGTGCGATTTCGCTGTTATCAACTTTATTTGGAAGTTTTATTTTAACATTTATTTAATATTTTTAGTGTATTGTTATTGATACCTGATGTGCGTTTGAGAAGAATACTTATTTAAAAGCCCTGCTCGCTCTACTTTTAAACACTGCTCGGGAAATAAAGACCTTTAACGTTAATCTTTTTTTTAAATAGTATTGATTTATTTGCTGTTATTATACATGTACAGGTACTACGTACTGTATATACTAATAGTACGGGTCTCACTGGTAACTTTACCAAGCTTGAGTAATTTTTGCAGCCCATTTCGGTAACACTTTTTAATTCTGAGATACTTTATTTATAGATATATTTTGACATGTGGTGCAGATGGAGATGTGAGGATCTTAGATGGTGTTGAGGATGATGATCCTCAGTCACACAGAATAGGAGACAAGGTCTACTCCTTGGCATATATGGTGAGTGACATTATGCAGTGTATTGTAAATATGACTTATGAATAATATTTATTTTGAATGCTCGCTTCATATATGTGAAGTTTCAGTGAGAAAATAAAAGGTATTTTGTTATATGCTTGGTATTAGGCCTCCTTCCCCCCCTTCCAAGCTTTTTCTTTTTTTAAATCTGGTACAGCAACCAAATAATGTAAAGCCCTGTGTTGATAGGCATATGGAACTGTACTTGAATATGGGTACAATACTTAGTATTTCCCCTTATGATTAGACACTAGACTACATCTATTGTTTTATAGAAATTTAAAGTTATAATTCAGTTATCCACTTGTAATAATTCAAAATCCTATTGAGTGACTATACACATTGAATGGCAAGCTTTGTAATTTCTTTGGTTAAACTTTTAAATATCTTCTTTCATCTTCTTTCAGAATGATCACTTCTACACAGCGTCAGACGACAACTGTGTTCAGGTCCACACATTCCCAGAGGGCGCCCCTGATGGCATAGTGACGCGGTTTACCTCTCCTGCCACTCACATGTGCTTCAACAAAACAGGGACCCACATGCTGGTGGGGGCAAGGTGGTGAACTTTGTCAAAAGTTACACATGTATTGCATTTGGCATATTCCAAAGTGTTACAAATTACAAAATTAGGTTACAAATTGATTTTCCATTATTTTTTACTTCCTCTTACTTCATTATTTTCAGTGGATTTTGAAACTTGATGCCTGCATCCCTGATTTTACATAGTAATATGTAATTTACTGTAAATTGTCGTTGTTTCGGTTTAAGTCATCAGGCAGATTGATTCTTATTAGTAATTGATAAAATGCACTAAGTTAGACTTTTGTAATATTAATATAAACCATATTTATGGTGTTGGTGATGGTATCCCAAAAAGTTAATCTATCTGTGATTTATAGTGACTTCTCTATCAAGTTGGTGGAACTGAAGTCCAGCAGCCAGAAAGTGTTCCTGGGCCATAACGCCCCTGTTCTGAGCATTGCACTAGATTGCAAAGAAGAATATGTGGTAGGTATAAGGGATATTATTTTATATAGCTGAATAATATGTATTTTATTTCAGGAAATTTGCCTGTAGTTATGGACTTGTTAAAGTACGAGAAAGTTGCATATTGAAATAAGTTGTGCACTGGCAAACTTTTATTTGTTTGAGTTATATTTTATATACTGAACCACATAAAAAATGCATTTGATAAATTTTCCTTATTTTTTGTTGTTGTTCTATTTATTGTAATTTAGGGTGTGTGTTTTCTGTTCATTTAAAATGACGTTTTAATTCCTTTTATTATATTGTCAAAATTGTCACTGTCCATTTGTAAAAATCATTTTACAAAAAAATAAATAAATAGGTAAATAAAAATCAAAGATGCACCAAATTTCACTGTACTTTGAAATGCATCTATTCTGTTAAAATATTTTCCTTACTTAGAGCATTGCTTAAGTAATTTGTCTTTTATGCAGGCCTCCGCCAGCTGTGATGGGACTGTCAAAGTCTGGAAAGTGGCTGATCAGTCCTGTGTTAAGACTTTCACTATCTTGCCCAAGGCCAATGATATAAGGTATATATTCCATTATGCTTGCTTTAATTTGATAAGCTTAAAAAGTGTTGATTTTCATCTTTTATAAAACAAAATGTACTCCTACATGTAGTACTAGAGGGAACCTTAAGATATTTTGTTATGAAAACATGATTGAATGGAATCACCGCTTGAAGCAGTAAACATACATGTTTCTACGTGATTTGTGAGATTCTCTTTTACAGTTCTGCGAAAACCCTGTGCCGTCTCACCTGGCATCCCAAGAACGGCAAGGTAAGGTATACAGGTGTTACAATTATTAAGTAGGGAATAAGACATCTATACTATACTGACATATAAATCAGGCTTTTACATATTTTGTGATTCTAAATAAAATTGCTTTGATCAGGTTTGTGCAGTAGAATATTGCATTATTGGCACTTAAAGATATGTTGAATAGTTGTTAGCATTGAGACATGTCCCTGTTATGAAGCATTGTTTCCATTATAGTTAATTGTCCCCGTTGATAAAGAAGTGCGTGTGTATGAAAGGAACACATGGGAGCTGTCGTATACACTCAAGGATGATACCATAAAAGAGGTAGGTCCAAGATACTATATATGTGTTACAGCACTCTCATGGACACTTGCACACATCTTACCCTATCAGGAACAGTGAAACAGCACTTTTTTTGGAACTTAAAAGTGAAATGTAGATTTTTTCTGTTGTTGAAACATCATCTGGTTGTATAAGTGTTCTAATGAGCGATGCATGATGAATCTCTTTATGTTTTAGTTGGTCTCCATCACAGTGTTCTCTCCATGTGGGAACTACCTGGCTGTGAGTTGTATTGATGGCTGGGTGCTCATCTTTGATTTTAAGCTTGGCGTCTGTGTAGAAAGGTAAGTTGTTATGAAAATTAAGGAGTTATTTAAGACAAATTTTTTTTGTTTTTGATTTCAAGCTTGGTGCTATATAGAAAAATGAAGTGTAATGAAAATTCATGAAAAAATTTGTCATTTTGAAAAATAAGACAAACTGAGATTGTGCCTAATAATAAAAATTCTCAAGAATAAGTACTCTTTCACTTGCAGAGTTCAACATGACAAGAAGCTGACTATAAGTGCTCTAGCATGGAATCCTAAAGGAAATAAGGAGATAGCATTTTGTGATAACCAGGTAAGTTGTATACAAATATAGCATTTTGTGATAACCAGGTAAGTTGTATAGAAATAGAGCATTTTGTGATAACCAGGTAAGTTGTATAGAAATAGAGCATTTTGTGATAACCAGGTAAGTTGTATAGAAATATAAGCATGTTGCTGAATAAGTATTTTACAGCAAGAGAATTTATAGCAAAAATAGCAAAGTAAAAAAAGTGATATATTGTGTTTGTGCTTTTTATCAGTCAGATATAATTGTTAGTCTGTTTTGTAGTTGGTTTTCTTGTATTTATTTTTAATAGGGAAACCTTGGGGTGTTGGAGAATGTTATACCTGAAGATGGGGCAAGTGCAAATAAGGTATGATATGTGACACATTAGCATGCCTGTGATTTGAACCTTGGGTTAGGAAAGTGAACATAGTTTGATGCTATTTTAACACATCTGCAAAATATTCTAGTGTCAGCATCATCAGGTACATACTCATTTTAATAAATTAGATGTATTTAAGTAATATGAATATATAGTTTATCGTAATCAAATGCACTGTATTGTGGTGATAAGGTACAATGTGTTAATTCTACAATAAAATGCAATACAATATGATATAATACAGGATAAATTATGATAAAATAATGTAAGGTGATAACTATTATTTTTGTACTCTGAAGGCTGCTCCTGTTGTAACTGGAGATCAATTCAATGAACTTTTTGATGATGGTGATGATGACATGCTCATCCAAGCCACCAATCAGGGCAGTTCTACTCCTGTCCACACCGTAGCAGCTTTTGACGATGATGATAATGACAGTGAAATTGACATTGGGAAAATCAAGGCTAGATACAACATTGGGGATGATATGGAATCTCAAGGTATTTTACAAAGAGTGTATTTAGAAGTAACTAGGCCTTTGTTTTGAAGCTTATGAGGATTTAATTATGACTGTGCTTTTATTTTTGTTTTGATTAATGTACAAATCCATCTTTAGGCGCTTTACCAAAGTGGATTTATTTTAAAAGCTGGTTTTAGTATTACTTCATCAATTTTTATATACGTCCAGTGTAATGAGTGTGTAATCTCCTGTGACAGTGTGTGGTAATCACTCGAGCAGTAACCACGCATACAAGAACAGAGTATAAATTAACTTACTTTGTTTTCGTTTTTCATAGTCCCAGTATTCAAAAATCTTCAATTTTATTCTTTCAAGATGGAGATTCTGTCAAACCCTCGGCAGACGGAGATGCAGAGAGTGTGCGTAGTGGACGTCCTGCGGCCCCCCTCCAGCCCCAGCCCTCTGGCCCCAGACCCACACCCCTCCAGAGACCATTCCAGCCAGGGTCCACACCCGTACATCTGTCTCAGAGATTCATGGTGACTACAACATTTAAATCTGTTGATATATTATTTCAATAATTTTTTTTTAAAACCTCAAATTGTCTCTGTTTTAAAAACAAGACTTCACAGTCATATCTCAGCAGCAGTAGACTTTCAGGAGTGATAAAATGTACAAGATGGCCAGTGCCTTGAGATGAGAACATAAGTATTCTCAAACAATCCATTCACATTTTTTGAAATATTTTATCAGATTTTTTTCCAAGAATGTAACAAAATATAAAACTGGTCTTCAGGTGTGGAACTCCGTGGGAATCATAAAACAGTACAATACAGAAGAAGAGAACTCCTTGGATGTAGAATTCCATGACACTTCAGTTCATCACGCCATGCACCTGGAGAACACCATGAACTTTACAATGGCGGACATGTCTACGGAGGCGGTAGTACTGGCCTGTGAGAGTGGAGAAGAGAACACAAGGTAAAACCAGACGACCATTCATTTTTGGACATCTAATTTGCTGAGTAATCCTGTTAACCAAAAGGAAAAATATTTGCTCAATTTACTTCAAATATTAGTTGGAATTTCAGGTGATAAGATTACTGGAATTTACTATATTCCTTAGGGAGTCAGTGAGATTTTAAGGTTGATCACTCGCGTATATTTTCTTTGTTTAATCATCCTGGTTCAAAATGTTGTTGTTTGCTCAATCAACTACTGAAGTTATTACAATTTTACATCTTGAACGACAAATTTGACATGTTATTTTGAAAAAAAAAAAAAAAACATGGCAAAAGTGCATTCTTTAGATAATGTTTTGATTTGTCTATAAAGATGATGATGTGCAACTTTATATGTGTACATAAAACAAAAGAGGTGTGACTAAATTGATTTTTATTCAAAAATGTTTCTTTAGAAAATTTTGAGATCTGCTTCACATATAACTTAGTATTATTTGTTTCCTGTAGCACCCTGATGTGCCTGCACTTTAGTTCTTGGGACAACAACAAGGACTGGACACTGCCAATGCCCAAAGGAGAAGAGATACAGGTAAGATTGCATTTTCAAGGATTAAGTACCATAATTGATTCCAATGACTTCACTTTTAAGTAGTCATATTATGTTTAGTTCCAGGGAAATAAGTTTATTAGCTACTCACATGTGCTGTTCATGAATTTGAAATCTTTTTAGAATTGTTTTTCTTTTTGTATTAGACCCTCTAAAATGTAAAGAAAACTGAAGCATGTATAGATTTGGTTTGGCAGTCATGATCCTTAAGAATAAAACCTCTGAAATTCTTTGTTTGTGTGTGTGTTTTAATAAATAACCTGTGGATACCGTACAATACAGGCTGTCACAGTGGGAGAGGGATGGATAGCTGCTGCCACAGACAAGCGTAATGTCCGCATCGTGTCAGTTGGAGGAGTACAGCAGGAGATCTTCAGTGTTCCAGGCCCTGTAGTGACCATGGCAGGCCACAGCCACCAACTCATGGTGGTCTATCACATGGGGACAGGTGGGGACAGTGTGCGTGCGCGAACATGAATACATGTGTTTATAGGGTTGCCAAGTCCTAATTGTGCGTAAAACATAATATTTATAATAGATAATCGAGAGGAATTTTATTTCTGGTGCCATTCCCAGAAAGAAAATCTAAAATTATATTTTACCTGTCAAAATGAATATTTTTGTGCAACTGACAATTGATGGAACACAGAATGTAATAAAATGATATAATCAAGCTGAACAATTCACTGCCTTAGGTGTGCCAGGGGACCAGTATTTAGGAGTGAAGCTGATGTACGTGAGAGGGAAGAAGAAATGTGTCATTCCTGGGGAACATCTGCCCTTGTCACCCAAAGCTACACTCAGCTGGCTGGGGTAAGAGAACATATGGAGGCTTAATTGCTGGTTCTTTATAACCCTTATCCTCAACCTGACAGCAATTTAACAAAGTAGAAGTTCGAGTGTAACTTTCTAACATTTACCTAGTCTTCTTGCTTGTCTCTCTTCTCCAAGATAAAGAAACTGATTATCATTAGAAATGCCAAAAAATGCTCAGTGTAATTTGGCAAGTTTAAAAGTACTTTGCCTCTATTTATTAAAAGAATACAAGTATTGACCATGCATTAAAACAAAATAATATTTCCATGTTGAAATTTTCAGCTTTTCTGCAGAGGGCAGTCCATTTGCTGTGGACTCCAGTGGCATTGTGAGAATGTTAAACAGACGATTTGGCTCAACTTGGATGCCAGTGGCAAACCTTAGGTCTCATGTAAGAGAACAATTATAGGGTTTTAATTTGAATTTTTCGCTGGTTGTACTCACAAGATACACAAATGTCAATGAATGAGAACTACATTTTGACCCCTTGTATTTTCCTAATATTTTCTTATTTTGATTCCAATATATATTTTTTTGCTCTACTTCTTAACATCTTATATTAACATTACCTGGTATATTTTGATCTGTTCTATTTTATACATTTTATATTAACATCCTGGTAAATTTTTACTGGGAAATGCACTGTGCATCTATAAAAATATCCATTTGTAACATTAAGTGATGGTTGCTTGTTCTCTACTTTCAGGCAAAGGGGAAATCTGATAACTTCTGGATGGTTGGTGTATGTGAAAACCCAGAGCAAATAAGGTGAGGAGTATTTCTGTAAAAAATGTATGCTTATTTTTTTATTCTGATTTGAAACAAAATTATGTATTTAAATATTTGTTTATTTATTTGCATAATGTGTTATACAGAAATAAGTAACTGATAAAAGTAATATGATGTCTTTATCCTTGTTTTCTTGCCTCACAACTGGAGTACCTTGATTAATTGTTTTGCTATTTTGTAGATGTGTACCGTGCAAGGGTTCTGTCTATCCCCCCACCCTTCCCCGGCCTGCCGTCACCATTCTGCCCTTCCAACTGCCTTTCTGTGAACTCACCACTGAGAAAGGACAGTTTGAGGTTTGTACTACTAAAGTTTGTTATGTTGTATGATACTAAAAATGCTTCAGGTATTATTTGAGTATTATTATGCATGTGGAAACTGAAAGATGTACATTTTCATTTCAATGTAATTGTTCATCCAATATTTTAATTATAGTGTATATTGAGTATCATTTTGTGCATTTGGAAATGAAGAGGTGTGAATTTTCTCTTTAATGTTATTATTCGACAATTATTTTAATCATAGTGCTTCCATAAGTAAATAAATAAAAATCAAGAAAAAAAAACATCTTTTAAAGGACTTTAACATGAAAAATAGATGAAAAATGTCTATTCTGTCAACCTGATCTCAATGTTGTAGGAGAAGCACTGGCGTAACCACATCCTGACTGGTCACTATGACTTCTGGCGGAGTATAGGGTGGGAGGTGGAGGAGGGGGACATGGAACAGGCCAGGAAACCCATGACTGAGGCTTTGATGCAACTGTTTGCTGTAAGTGTTTTTATAGCTTGTTTAAAGTTTTATGGAGAAGTTTCCAGTCTTTACTGAGCATTAAGATGTTTTTTTAAGTCTACATGTAAATGATATAAGTTTTTGTTTGTGTATGTAAATATTTGATTTGAAAAGGAAGAAAAAACAAAGATTTTTTCTTGATTTTTTATGGGCTTATAAATGTTAATTTTTAGAGATTAAAAGTCACCATCAGTTTTTCCCCATTTTCCAGTTGTCTTGCAAAGCTGACAGAGAGTTCAGAGCCATAGAACTGTGTGAGATGATGCCCAGTCAGCATGCTGTCCAGTTGGCCATTAAGTATGCTAGTCGTATGAAGAGAATACAGTTGGCAGAAAAGATCAGTGATGTGGCACGGCAGAAGGCTGAGGAAGAGGCAGCAAGACTGCAGCAGGACATGGAAGAGGAGGAAGAGGAAGAGCCACACTTTAGAAGTGTTTTGAGGCCAGCGTGAGTTGCTTTCCTTTAAATAAAAGAATTAAAAGAATTTATGTGTAGCTCTTATCAGCACATTTTAATTTAATGGAAATGATGTGATTTCTTTTCTTTGATATTTACCTAAAAATGGTATACATTTAAGCCGTAACAAGACCACCACAGAATGGTCGGATAGAACTGAACAAGATGAAGAGGAAGACATGGAACAAGAGGATGCAGAGGAGGAAGAAGAAGAGACACACAGTTCAGGTAATAATGCTTAAATTTTTAAATGGTGGCTGGGAATAAATTGGTGGATGTTTGCGTTACAATATCTACCATAAACTTCTTCATTATCAGTTATGTTGTTTGATGTAAAAGAAATTAATTTCTTACAGGAAAATAAAGATGGGAAGAAGTTAAAATACTTAATATGTTGAATTATAGTATTTGGTTTTGCATGATAATTTCAGGGCCAATGCTACATTTAAATCAGAAAAAAGAAATGAAAACAAAAGCAACAATACAGCTAAGTGGAACAAGGAAAAATCCTTTCAAGGTAAACTATGAATAAACTTGCATGAGATTCCAGGAAGAATGAACATTGTATGGATAGTTTGTAATTAGATTTAAATGCAGACATATTTCATTCATAACATTGTCATAGATATATTTGAAAAAGAAATCTAAAGATAGAGTCTTATCCTTATTGTGAATTTTACCATTTCACAGTCAAACACCAAAACAACCCCCACATCAGCGAGAGGAACAAGTGTGTTTGATGACATGAAGAAACAGCAAAAGTCTTCCAAGAGCCCTGTTGGATTAAGCACTGAACAGAAGACACAAAAGAAAAAGGTGCTTAGTTAGGATAAACTTAAGATTTAGATAATATTATTGGATGATGAATGTGTTTATTTGTCTATCATTAATATATAAATGTTCAAAATAGTGTTCATGCATCTGTATTTGTAAAATAAAAGCATGATTTTCTCCCTGCTTTAATGTAAATATCACAATTTTGGAGAGATTTTTAACTATACTTTATTACAGACTTCAGTTTATTTTTGATCATTTGTAGGGTCCTATGCAGATGAAACTTTTCCAATCCAAGAAAGGAAAGGAAGAATCAGAAACACAACAAGCTCAAACTCCAGAAACTCCAAATAATAAAAAGTAAGTTGAATCAAGAATTGAATGAAAATGGGATAAGCATTTATATTCTCTCTTAAAGAAGATAAACATTCAGGTTTTTTTTTTAAGGAACTTAATACTAATAATTATGTTTCTGTAAATTTTTTGTTAAATTGCAAACCATATTTCTTTCACGGGCATTCTACAGAGAAAGTCAATCATTCGGACAACTCGGTCACATTTTTGATCAACTTTATATTGCTTTCTCTTTCCATCTTATGATTTTTTTCAGTGATATAATTAGTATTCTCGGTATTATAAACTGTTTTCTGTTTGTTTTCGCCAGGCGAGCCAACCCCTTCCAGCTGTGGCTAGAAGAAAACAAGAGCAGACTAGAGGATGAGAATCCAGGTTTGGAGGAGGCAGACTTCACTGTAATAGCCACCACAGAGTATGCCAGTCTGCCCAGAGAAGAAAAGAAGGTACATAGTGCACTAGGTTTTGTCATGGAGCCTTGTTTGGTGGCTTTTGTCCCATTGCTTCACCTAGCTGTTATCAATCTTCTGTTGTCGTCTTTCTGTGAGATTTTAAAAACTATCATACTATGAAATCAGATGATTTGTATATTTGTGGAATTTTGAATCAGTTATAAACACCTTTAAATATATTTCATACAGATTTCTATATATTGTTTTGTAATGGTGATATTCATTGTTTGAGCTGAAAACCTTGACAATGCTGTACACTGAATTGTCTTGAATACCATTGTTCCAACAGAAATGGATGGAAAAGGCAAAAGCAGCATCTACTCCAGCCACACCTAGCACTCCAACCTCAGCACCAACCACTAACGCAGAAGACACTCCAACCTCAGGGACAGACAAAAAGAAGAGAAAAAGAGACGAAATGGATGAAAATGACCAAAATGAAACAACAGAGTCCAGCAAAATAAAGAATAAAATGGACAATCTACCAAAGAAGAAAAAGCCATTGTCGCAAAGCACCAATTGTAAACTGGCTGCCTTCAAAAGAGACTGAGGTTTCTATAGTTTATGTAATTGTTGTAAAGAAATGTTTATTAGTCTGGGTTATATTGGGTCAGAAATGGAGTTTTTTTAATCATAAATCATTGTTAAAGATTAACCTCTTCGTCTCTTCTGTGTGATCACAGTGGGGAATCAATTTGGCTAAAAAATGGTTGCGATCACTTCATGATACAGCCCCTTCTAGGTTGTTTTATTTCTTGTACGCCTACAAAATGTATTTTAATGGTTTTTAGGGACTTCACAACATGATTACTCTAAAGACTTGTTTGTATATTTGATATATGATGATAATATATATAATTCAAAACCATGTATGCTTTGACTTTTGTTAGAAAATTAACGATAAAATAATTTCTCTATCAACATTTGCAATTCCATGACAATATTTTGGCACATACAAGAAAAAGACCAAGACGAGAGTAATTGTCCATGTTGATCTCAAAAGGGAAAATCTAATAGCAAAACCAGCCTTGTCAACCTTCTGGTGAACTTGGGTGAAGCAAGGACCTACGTAGGAAAATACGACTCGTGGTGTGCAGGCTGTAATCAGAAAAACCAAACTAGTTGTACAGCATATGGATTAATCTTTTCTTTGTTACAAAATTCTTTTTGTGCAAAAACAAAAAGCTGTATTTTAAATTTCTCCTGACTTTTAGTTTAAAAGGTTGCCCATTACCACTTCATGCTTCAAGTGTCCACTGAATTAGAAAGGCAGATTACATAAAATTGAATCATCTTTTTCAGATATAAAAACTGGAGGATTTTAAAACCCCAAAAAAATCGGTTTCAAGTTCTTAATGTCACATATAATAATGTCATCATCTCTTCAACGCTAAATCTCCACTTCCTGTACAGGAAATGTAAAGTACGGGTGAGGGGATCTGCATAAAAATTGAATGTTTGGTAACAGTTAATTTCTCTTACTAAAAACAGGTTAGTAAAATGCAAGACAAGTCCACTTATTGTATTTTTTAGTTTTATTCTATATTTTCATGCTTTTCTTTGATAAAATATATAAATCCCAGCATGATAAATGTAGAAAATAACTTTTCACATTTATAACAGCCGAGACCCCAACTTCACATGTAAAGACACTTTTACAAACCAACTTTTAAATTGATAATGGAGTCGCATTTATGATGGTTTTGTATTTTCATTCCATCTACAAATGCACTTCAGTAATTACATAATTACAAACTGAAATTCATATCCCAGACAATGTTCAGACTTTTTATCAGCTAATTGCACTGCATTTAAGTTTAAATTTGACTTCTTCATTATTTCCTGTCCAGCAGCAGTGTTACCCCACCTCTTCCTTTTTCAATAATTTGCATATTGACAAAAAAGCAAGATTGGGGATATTCCCCTCAATGTTACACAAATAACTAAAAAAAAATTGAATTTTTGCCTCATGTTAGACAAAAACAAGTCTTCCCCATACTTCAATGAGAGAATTAATTGTCATCCTTATGCTGTCATTTTTCTTGATGGAATAGATTGGTCCACTGATGAAGTGAAAAATATCTCATTCATATCCCTCCCTTTAAACTTTTGTGTGATCAAACTTGGCATCATGCACAATTGCCGCCTGATAACAGAACGAAATCGTGCTGTGGTAAAAAAAAAAAAAAAAAAAAAAAAAAAAAAACACCCTTTTCTGATACCTGGCAACTGATGTCACCAAGCTCCAACTAAAACGGGCTATTCTGTCCCTCCATCCTCATCTGGACTGTCGCTATGGTGACTACTGCTGTCCATGTCCTCATCTTCATCTTCCCTCTCATTTGCATCCAACTCCAACTCCTCATCCAACTCCAACTCTTCCCAGTCCTGAAAATGAAACAAGTACTGTGTCAGACTTGTCCACTAAATTCACAAAGGTTAAACAAAAGCTTCCAAATCACTTCAATAATTCAGTGCCATCAATGTAAGCTATCACAAAATTCACTCATATGGTAAACTGATATTTCACAATATGATACTTCATTTATATTTAGGTAGAAATGACAGTTTTAAGGTAATGGTAGGGAAAACAATACCTCTGAGTCTGAGTGGCTTGGCACTATATCCTCCATCAATTCCTCTTCATCGGAAGATTCTGAAAGAGATCAATAATTAATTGCTTGTATCAAAACATATATAAACTGTTCTATATCTGCATTAATACATTTTAGTTATATTCTAGACAAGTTGCTGCGTTTTGTTTTAGAAAATCAAGCTTCCTCATTTCATGATCAATACCAGTACGTACCATCTTGGTAAACCAACATGGCCGTCTGTGCAACTGTGGCCTCCTCCTCATCTGGTGTCTGAGACGTGATCTGCAGAGGAAAATAAATGGCTAATTCAAGATGAAACTGGTCACTTTTCAGGGTTTGTTAAAGAGAGAAAGAAAGAAAGCATTTCATCCACTTGGAAAACAGACAAAGTACCTAGATTCATAGATACCACTGACAGAATGTAGAAATGAAGACCCCCCCAATTTATACAAGCAACTCACTGCTGTAAAACCTATAGCTTGGCCACAATATATAATTGTATGTAAGTGTATGATATTCTCAAACCCAACCTGGGGGCAGGGGCAAAAGGGATCATCAAGACTGAGTTAATGTAATCAGTTGTGATCAAGTCTGTCAGAGTGAACAGACGGAACTGTCAACAAGTAAATCAAATGTGTGGATCCATCACATATGAAAACCTTCAACTATCAAAAATTGAGATCCAATGGACCTATTTTCAAATATAATATTCTTACTAAATTCTGATATGAAATACCCATCCTTACCTGCGAAAGCATAAGGTCTAATTTTCCTTGTAACCGTGACAACCTGCCCAGCATAGCAACCCTGGCATCCATCATCTGATAGAGCGTGCTCAATGTGTCCACCAGTTCTGGAAACTGAAATAGTCATGGCACCTAAATTATTACATATTCTGCAGCGGTCAGCATCAGGCGTCTTACTGGCATCTTTTGAAAATCTCTCTTTTAGCACTTCATATTCATTACTCATGTTTGCAGTACTCAAGAATAATCAAAACTTTATTCATGATTACATCACCATAAGGAATTCAATTAATAAGCAATCTGACTTCCTCAGGGATAAAAATGAAGACAACTTTTGGAAAATTTAGTTGCCATGACCTACTTACTGTCATTAGATATGATGTGTGCATTGTCAGAACTGTCTTGATCCACTTGACCAATCTATGCCCACTGATGATACAAGATTAAGAAATAGAATGAAAGAAAAGCATAAAACATTAAAAATAACATATCTTTTAATAAAAAAAATTCTCTTCATTAGAGACAAGATTTAACTTATACTTCTGGAGGAGCTTACAAGTTGTGAAAATCTGTTATCACTGTTCCAAATGGACGTAAAGAATCCAAATATCACTACCTTTGAGAATGGCCATGCATTCTCCGCGACAGCTCCTGCACGAGTGGAATTATGACTGGGACTGGGAGTCGTCGCACTGTGTTCCTTATAATGTCATCATTTGTGTGTTGAAGTACGTTCTGAAAACAAAAATGTGATTACTATTATCATTATTGGTCCCATTATTGTAATGAACATTACTATGGCTTTTCATGAAAATATCTTATAAATTTTCGGTTTCTTGTAAAGATGGCTTTAATTAATTTACAATAATTGAAGCAACCAGAGTCCAATCAGTTACTTAATATAACAAACAACATTCAGCAAACAAAAACATGATTACAACGATATCATCGTTATTGTTACCATTATCATAATAATTGCTTTCACTTTTCAGGAAAATACCCTAGTAAAGATAATTGAATTACTTTCTTGAAAAGATGGCTTTTATTTCTTTACAATAATTAAAACCAGAGTTAAATCAATAACTTACAAATAACAAACAACCAAAGCATTAACAACAAGATTATGATATATACAGTTGTTGTGGGTTAAAAAAAACCCTCACATTTAAGATTTTCTTATCCTTGCTCTGGAGGCCCTGTGCCAGCAGTGTGGCTAGTGTGTCTGCTTTGGGTGGGTGACTGACACTCTTCTGCTCTGTGCTCTTCTCTATACTTATTGCATTCAGGCGATCCTCCATGGACATCTAGAAAATATATTTAAAAGTTGACAACTATTTATCTCATTTTATACCCACTATTGCTTTGTAAATGTGAAAATTTTTTCAAAAGATATAATCAAGGAAATGTTCATACTATAAGGGAGCAAAACTCATATCGAAATAACCTGTTTACATTAAGTGTTTTGGCTATACCTATAACAGCAATTGTGACAACTATGAAAGTGAAACTGTATGTATAACTGCATCCATATATTTGATAAAGAATCAAAGTCCTGTGAAATACACTGTCTTCCTCAGATACCTCATTTACAGAAGACTTCCTTTTGTTTTTCCTCTTCCCGGCCTCAGAACTCAATGTTGGAGCGGCAGGAGCCATGACCCCCGGGGAGAGCACCGTGACATCTTCAGAAGTAGCTGGTGTTTTGATTTTGGACACCCCTGGATCTTGCCTCAGCACCAGTTTGGAGGGGTCTTCTCTTATTAAACAGATGTCAGATTCCTCTGACCTGTACGGCTGAAATAATAATATTTTCAAACTTTAATAAATCAACAGAGACTACTGGAGATTTATGATGACCATGAAAAGGATGTTTTTCACAATTAAACACAATACACAATAGATATTTTCAATACAAGCTTAGCTAATATTTTTCTATTAACAAGATGTTTTTTATACTTTTAGAAAACTGTTTAGGTAATTTTGAAAAAGTATACACCAGTGTGTTGAGTAAAGTTTTACAAATTCTTGTCAAGATGTAATCAAAACAACAATAAATAAGAACAATGACGTCTCCACTCACTAGTTTTTCAAAAGTTGGCTTCAGAAAGTTCCCATGACATATTAAGATCTGCTGTTCCCTCGTATTGGTGAATTGGGCTGCAAGGAGTGGGATAGGTCTCGGCACCTCAGCCTCACTGCACGATGTGGCCACCTGGACTGACAATTTTGGCTGGAGTGGCTTTTTACATTTTCTGAAATTCAACATTCGCTTTGAATTGATTTTTTTTCACTGGTACAATAAATAGTATTCACAAAATGTTCATAGCAAAAATTCCTTCCAAACTGCTTACCATCAAAATGGAAATTCATTAACCCATTTTTCATGTTGCTGAACCAAAAATATTTTTTAAAAAGCATATCTGATACTTACCCATTTAAAACATGTTCAAATATCACAAATTGGCCATTCTTTGTCACAACACCTAGTAAAAGAGGCTGGAATAAAAAATATAAATATTGAATAAAAATGGAAATCGTGCAAACCTAACCTATATTATTAAAGTTACTTTAAGGCTAAATAATTAGACAAGTAAAACATCTTAATATACCACCCGTTGAAAATATGACATTCTGTTAAAAAACAGCGACTTACATCTTCTCTACTTGACATTTTAGAAATA